ACTTTGTATGGGATTTGACCCGTGCACAGGCCACCTACATAGTAGGCCCCTTCCCTGCCAGTCATTTCCGGTACCTTTTTCTGTCACCCCATAAATATTCACCCAGTTGGGGCCGGTGGATATGTAGAGGAGGCAAACCGGGCTAGGCGGTCCGGGCTAGCGGGATCTGGCCATCGCAGGCTGTGGTGCTGTGGGTGAGGGCGCTCTCGCGGGACAGCGGTGTGACAGTGCGGGCCAGGCAGAAGGTCCCGCGGTGTCGCACCTGCACCCTCTAGAGCGGCCATCTCTCGACATGCCCGTCGTCTGCGGTGACCGACCCTCTAGGCCCGGACGCGCGGCCGGCGGTGCGCCTCGGTCGACCCCTGGCGGGGCTTGCCAGGGGTGACGGGCCGGGGTGGTGCGCCGGGGGGGGGCGAGCGCCAGTTGGCGGGGGGGGGCTTGGGGGCGGGCCGCAGGCGGAGGGAGGCGAGGAGACCTCGCAGCGGCGACGCGGGCGCCAGACGCGGGGAACCAACCCTCAATGCGGCGCTTGGGGCGCGGTCACACATCCTAACCGATGGTGTAGCTAGGCAGCGTGCTGCACGTGACTAAGACCAGTTGGTGAGACTACGCCAGTTGCCGCTGGCGTAGTGGGTGGGTGCACCGCCAGTTAGCGGACCACGCCAGTTGCCGCCGGGGAGCCAGTTCACAGGCCTGCACCAGTTACACGAAAGGGGGGGGGGGGGGAGGCAAGGCAAACTAGCCCGTTAAGCTGCCAGTGGGCCCCCGCCTTGACGGCACACCCTTCTCTGTGAGGCGGTCTCAATCATAACAACCAATCTGCAGTCGGACCACTCCATCAGGGACCACTGAATCAGGAACCGTTCACGTTTGAAGTTCTGTTTCCTTCCTAACTCACCCGGGAATAGTTCGGTCGGTCTACTGTTGAAATATATTGTTGTCTGTGTGTCCACGGGCCGTGTAGGCTTTGGAAACGTGGGCGTTGACAGTTGTAGGGGTTGAGGTTCTCTGTCGTCCAAGATATATATCCACACGAGGGGGCTGGGTGTGGTCGTGACAGTCAAGCGATACTCGTGAGAAGATCGCGGTGAATCGGAGAACCCGATGGAGGCAGAAGATCGTCAAGATCTAGAGGGCGGTGGGCCATTGCTGCTCAGTGGGTTGTGAAATTTAACCACGTTTGCCATTGCTTCTGGGCAGGAATGGTGGTTTGGAAATTTGGTTAGAGAGTGGCCAAATTTAATCACTTGATCATCCCTGAGGTGGTGGATGGTCGAGATGTGCTTAACGGTGGTGGATATCAACCTCCCTGGCTATTGCCTCCGGGCAGGATGGCAAATTGAAATATGGTTACAGGATGGGCGGCCAAATTAACTGATCTGCTTAGAGAGGACTGAAATTTACACATCCTGGTCTTTGCTTTCGGGGTGAAATGGCGTGCTTTGGAGTGTTTAATAAGTGATAAATTGACCATCTGACCAATGTTAGAGGTAATGGAATGGCTTATCAGAGAGTGTCTAAGTGATGGACAAAAATGAACCTGCTGGCCATTTCTACCTGGATATATGAAATCGTGGCTTGAGATTTGTTGAAAGGGTGAGTCAAAAATATAACTTCTGGTGTAGACCGCCTGCTCCAGGGCCACGGCAGTCATGTACAAAGCTTTATACTTTGTTGAACATCACAGTCTGTAAATTGCACATGCTTTGCAATCCAGCAACCCCAAATTCGACGCCAATGCCGGAGTCTTTGTGACCGCCAAATGGCGCGTTGGGTAAAGGGTCAAAGTGTTTATTGATCCAGACGGTACCAACATCTAATTGACGTGCCAGGCGTTCGGCTTGCTCCAAGTCACGACTCCAGACAGACGCGCCGAGACCCATGTTCGTATCATTAGCACGGAAGATGACGTCGTTCTCGGAAGACCAAGGCAGGATAGGGAGGATTGGACCTTTGCTCTATCAGTGATGGCCGAAGAAAGAACCATGGCTGAGATAACCAGGGAGTAAAATCGGGTGTATCGCTTACCAAAGGGCTCTTCAATCACGATCTTAGAGTCATCTCCCGGATTATCGATAATAGTAGGGCTGATGAAGTAGCCAAGGCCGCTGCAGGTTTGGTCACCAACGGCGATCTTTTGATGTCTTTTCTTGGCATCATTTAAGAAGGCTTGCACACGGTCATACTGCAACTTATTTTGAACTGGGCCACAAAACACATCCTCATCCATACCATTACCAACTGCAAGTGTCTTGACATGAGAAATCATGGCGTGAAGGAATTCGTCATAAATACTCTCATGAATATAAACGCGCTTGATTGCCATGCAAATTTGTCCCGCATTTAGGAATGCAAATGTGACGACCTTCGCTGCGGTCGTCTGGATGTCCACATTCTCACAGATGATAGCAGGATCATTGCCGCCCAACTCGAGTGTCACACGCTTGAGCGTCTGTGCTGCAGAAGCTGCCACCAGTCTCCCTGTCGCTGTGGAACCGGTAAAGGATATTTTTTGAATGCCTGGGTGCGCGACTAACCAAGGTCCTAAACTATCATCCCCACTCAACGCTTGAACAACACCAGAAGGGAAGAAAGACTGTGCTAGCTCCGCAATCTTCAAGCCGCTGTAGGGAGTAAATGGCGAAGGTTTGATGATCATGCAGTTCCCAGTTAGAAGCGCCGGCGCCAGTTTCGAGACCTCGAGCAGGATAGGAAAGTTCCAAGGGACAATGGCAGCGATCACTCCAAGGGGTGTGTATCGAAGAATAACCTTCCTATCCGAGTTATCTTCGATAACCTCGTCTTTTCCAACATCACCCAATTCTGCTGTTGACCGAATCCAGCGCACAGAGGTGGTGACTTCAGTTTCGGCTTGGAAGATCTATCTCGGTTATTTTGGTGATCAGGCACTATAACAGTGAGACTTACCGGTTTGCCTTGCTCAACTGTGAGCAGCTGAGCAAATTCTTTAGATTTCGCTTCAAATGCATCCGCAAAGCTTAGTAGAGCTGCTCTGCGTTCTATATAGGGTGTGCAGGACCATGTCTTGAAAGCGGCCGTAGCACATTCCACAGCATTGTCAAGGTCGTGTTGCGTAGCAATAGGTACATCTGGAAGTTGAGTCAAAGTTGCTGGGTTTATCCCATGTCGATGCTCCTTCGTGTCAACAAGCTTCCCACCCACGATGTTTCTAAAGGTTGTAAAGTTAAGAGCCTCGGTGCAACCCAAAGCGTGATTCATATCTTTCGTGACTGTGATAGCCATTTTCACTGCTATGTGCTAACAGCGCATGATCATGCGAGATCATGTGGAAAATAATGGCGTATTAGTATTGGAACGAGAAGAGAAGTAATCCCCTCAGAACGATTTCCTCCGAACCCCACCCCCACCTCCGCATTTTAATATACAGTAACGGGAAGGTTTTCGGTGCTGGGCCCGGTTTTGCTCTACCAGCCCTGGATATTTACGGACAATATCTTCCCGAGGTGGAGATTCACTCCTTCCCTGCCTTCAATAAACTTTCCCCCGTTCCCCTGTATCTCCCCCGTCTGGCGTTTTATTTTCTTGACCCCCCCTTTTTTTCTTTTTTTTTTTTTTTTTTTTTTTTTTTTAAAAGGATCACAATAAGCCAGCCCAATTATGCCGAACCACTTCACTTAAGATTATTGTTATTGATAGCAGCCAATGGTGTGGTTATCATGAAATGCATGCCCAATCAATAGGTCACTCATTCTCCACCGAGCTTCAAACACAACAAACCAGATCTCGGTGCTGGGAACAGTAGATGATGGTAAAGTTCAATACTGTTCAAAGCAACAAGGTCCGGGAGAAAACAAAATCAGGCCCAATGGATGGTAGTCCGTATGTCAAAAGGCGAAACTCCGAAGGCAAGATGGCCTCGGAATTTCGGACCTTTGGTCATCATGTCATTGTGCGAAGGGAAAAAATCGTGGTCAAGCGGGGCATGGAACATCTCACGCGCCCGCGGAGCCACCATTTGAAAAATTGGTCGAGGAAACGTGAGAAACCTTCCAAATATCTATTTGAGACGTGCCTAGGGGCTTTTAATGACGGAATACAGAATATTACGATGTTTGGAGGTGCTCTGGTGAGATCGTTGACGTGGCGCGTGGAAGGAGGGGCTACCCAACTTCGCACGTCGTTCAGCTCCCACCAGGGACGACCAACACTCTTCGCATTATCACATACGCAAACACCAATATCTCGGGATTTCTTTCATTAAGAGCTATTATATTGCCAGAGGGATACTGGGATACGAAAACCACTTGACGCAAGCCGTTTTGGCGTAGTGATGGCCTATTTGGAGAGCGCAGCTGTACTGTATCGTTAACTAACTATGCTGCGAATGCATGCATCACGGGCTTTAGATGTTTGTTATGTTGTAGAACCGCCGGGTCGAACCGCAACTTTGAGGGTCGGTTCTGCTCATCCTAAAACCGCCCCGCGAAGGGGCGGGGCGGTACGCGGGTTTTGCGGTTCCATCTCGAGGCCTACTTGCAAATCAAGATGGCATCTTTCAATAAGATAATGCTTCTATACATACTGCATCTAATCGTACGAGAGGCCCTACAAGAGCCTAGCCCTCGCTTCGAGTTCTACGATCAATTCACCACGAACGACAGTCGCAAAATTACAAAAGAACCACTAGGAAGGCAAGAGAGAGATTCCGGACAATGATAACCCTGAAATAAATAAATCGAAGCGTCGCGTTGAGCGGATTTGAGAGGGAAGTCTTCTACAGGCCCAACTAGCGGCCCAGGTAACCTACCCGCCTCATTCGATACCAGGAGAACCGGGACCAAGCCAATGCCAAAAAATACTAAGCGCTAGTCATCTAAAGGGGTGCTCTACGAGTAAGGGACTCGAAAAGCCTCAACCGATATCGGGATATCGTGGAAGCTCAGAAACAAAGGCGGAAGTATGAACGTGAAGTTAAGTTGGGAGCTGGAATACTACGCCGCGCCGAAATTAGGGACCAGGAGAACCAGAGAAGAGATACAGAGCTTGACTGGATCACTGGAGACGATGTCATCCACTCTATACTAGCAATAGAAGGGTGAAATTCCATTAGACTTCTACAGTGGACGGGTATCCACTAAAAACACACGAAAACGCCCGTGTCCATGGAAGTCCATGAACGAACCTCCGGTGTCTATTTGCAGTCTTGAACTTCGACATAAATCCTATACACATATCCTCGTATTACAGATTATTTTTAATTTTCAACTCCACGCCTCTACCAAATCATGCAGCGTTGAATCGCCACCCACATTACCCGGAAATACCACAAATGGTATCCCACGATGTCGCGAATCTAAGTCATCAGATCTCCACAACGGCACACCCGGAGCCGCCTGCCCTACAACTGTCGCACGCTTGATATTGAGGCCTTTGGTTGCAGCGTCAGACGAAGTGATACCTCCCTAGGTGATTTAGTTACCCGTTTTTGTAACAGATAGAGACGAGAGAAAAAAGGTAGAAATACCTTCGCAATAATATATCGCGGTCGCACCTCAATTCGCTGTATAACACTGACCAACGCGTCCGCAATGGCAGCTCCAATCTTCAGTGACGACAGCTCGTCATCGCCTTTGACAAGCGTTCGACTCGTCATGACTAGGGTATCCTTTCCCGCGCGCAGATTGGACTCCGTCTCCTGAACAACATGCGCAATGACTTGGGACACGCTCTCGGCCGCCCCGATTAGGTCGCTGACCATCATCTGGACTACGGCCAGCTGGCCAGCACCCGATTCACCCCGCTTATCAATTAGTACTTTCAGTTGTTTTGTTGTCTTGGTCACATATGACCCAGCAACCACCAGTCCGCCTGTTAGCCGCTGTGAGGGTAACTGTAGCTCAGCGGCGGAGATGGGTGCCTTGGGCCGGATGCCTAGTCTTGCTGAGACGAAGGCAGCACCTGTGCGGCACAGGAAATGTTTCCCTTTTGACTCCGCTGTGTAGTATTAGATTTATATGGCAATTCTTATGGGACATCGGGTTCGTCGGCTCAAAAAGCGCGAAGCTACTCACCCAATAAAAGCCCAGCCACAAACACATACATATCAGACTCGGCGGCTGCATTGACAATAACAATACCACCAGCCGGCGCAGCTACCAATTTCTCACAGACAGCCCGCGGTCCACCAAGGCGAAGATCCCCAATGGTCACCGAGAGTAATTGGTCAGACAAAAATCTACCCGGCGCCTTCTCAAGTACGTAGTCACGCAGGTTGGAACTGCGGTATCCAAAAGAAGCGTCACGAGCAAACTGTGTCTTCCCCGCAGGAACAAGACTATCTCCTTCAGCGACATAGTGGACATCCTTAATAGTAAAACGACCGCCCTGGAAGAAAAATGGAGCCAGGACAATTGCATCAGCGGCTCCGAAGACGGACTGAGCCACGTCAGTCTCGAGCGGGAAATGGCCACGAAGCGTGCTATCTCCGCGGAGGACAATGTCAACTTTCTGGCCTGTGGACTTTGCTGCTTCAGACACATTTTCGCAGATGTTCCGAATGAGATTTTCGGCTTCAGCGGGAGGGAGAGCGCGCGAGTTGGTCAGGATGAAGAAGCCAGTTGAGAAGCTGCGAAACTCCGTTTCTAATGTTGGAATGTCCCACACTGTTAGCACAGAGATGCCATGGCATGTTTGCGTTCCAGTCGGGTCGTCATCTAGCATGACAAGCCGGTTCATGGACGATGTTGCCAAGTGCTGCGCAATCTGCTTCTGTACGTTGACCGCATACTCTGGGGGGAGTTGGGCGAGCGTACTGTGTCGCGGCAGGACATAATGCTCGCGTGGCAGCGCCATTGTCTCTTCGATATGCGACTGATCCAGAGAAAGACTGAGAGAATTTATAACCGTGGCACATGCGGGGTGCAGACGGAGAGAAGGCCGTTATGGATGATAGATGATATAGAAGACCGAGGTGGACCGGCAACTGTATTGGTACACCGAAACCAAATAACCACTGGATACCGCAAACGGCGAATTCTGTACAGACGAGGAAGTTGTGCATACAGACAGATGTTCCAACAGGTTTTATACGTTCGTGAATATAGCATATAGCAGCATAACCCCCTTGCGCCAATTCCATCGCCCTGCTCAAGTCCTTTCCGGTCTCATGCGTTTGGAAGCCGTAAACGGTATAAGTTGACGGCAGTAGGCGACGGAAAGCAGCAAAGTCCGAATCATACCGATAAGAGGGATTCAAGGATGTGCGGACCTATTGCGTGGTTGGTGAGAGGAGTTCGGTCTCTCGGGGTTACGGGGGCATCATAAGGTCTGCGGTGTTCTGAGGGTATTTCCGGTGAGGAGGCACAATATCTATTTTATGCTTAAGGCAGCGCCGCGTTGACTGAGTCTATATGTAGCGGAAGGGTGAAATGAGGTTGGTAAAATTCGAGATCGCCTTCTGAACCCAACAGGACGGAGACCAATCTGTCATTGATCCCCGGAGGATGCAATTTCTGGACTTGCACTGAAAAAAATAGATTAAATTAGATTAAAAAAATAAACAGAAGAATGCCTTGATACATACATCCAAAATACTAGTTGAAAATGCAAATAACTAAAATCCAGTTTGTGTTTATGCTCGAAGCCACCTTCGAGATCGTCCGGAGCTTTGATAATACTGGTCACGTTGTGGCCGCGGACGTGCGCATTCATCACACGTAACGCCGAATTAATTCTGAAGTACAAGGGGGCTTTTTGGCATAGCGATCTGTCGCGAGATGATGGCGGGCAAGACGACTCCAAATACTTTGGCTCTTCGTTTTCGGCGCACTCCGCTGCACGCTTAGCCCACCACTCTTCCCGCTCCTTCTGCTTCTTCCCATTTGCTTCATTTCCCCAGCGATCTGCCTGGCTCATTGACAAGGTACAGAACTCGACCACACTGCCATCTCCAGTCCTGGTACCCACTGTTGCAGAGATCGGCCTTGATCAAAGTCAGCAAGAACGAGGCGGCTTTCTCTGTTTTTTTCCCTCCTGGTCAGGTTTCAAGAGCCGCCTCCTTTGTGGTCTTAAGCTCGGATTGTTTCTGAACTAAGCGTCGCCGGTTTGACAAGGGAGCTGGGATTAAGGAAGAACTTGACATCGGCTCAATTTTGACGACCATAATATGCGATGCCCGAAGGTAATGACGGATTTTATGCTTGGAGAGTTAAGAAAGTGACACAATTCAAGTATTCGGCGAGGGCTATGTGTAGTAACTCCAAGAAAAGTGTTCGAGTCTTGGATGTGAGCAAGAGAGAACTATATGCATGCAATTCAAAACACCAATAGAGCAGGTCGACCCTAGTCGGAGTCATAGATGTCCCGACCCTTCTCGATCTCATTACTACTCCAGTGTAGGTGGTATCCAATGAGCGAGTGTGCATGGGAGCTCTTGGTACTTTTAGTCAAGAAAAAGTAACGTAATTCCCAAGCGGCCCGCTCTCACCCAACGCGGTTTTGCGCCCACGCGTCAACTCCCTCATTTCAACTACCCACCATGCCCCCTATTCGCAATCAAATTTCCCAAATTCTGTCAATCAAGAGGATATAATCAAGCTTGCAGTAAAAGCTTTCCAGAATGGCGAAATTCCCTCTATTCGCAGAACTGCGCGCGTATTTAACGTGCCCTCTTCATTCCTCCGCGATCAGGTTAATGGCTACCAATTTCGCAAAGATATGCGCGCAAACAATTATAAATTGACTTATAAAGAAGACCAATCGCTCCTACAATGGATTCTATCTATGGATTCGCGTGGATCTGCCCGTAGACCGTCAATGGTGAGGAAATTGATGGCGACACGACCCAGGAGAAGTCAGGAAACACCATGGCAAGGACCTGGGGGATCACGAAAACACGGAGAGAAGAAGAAATGGAGAAGATGATGATATACCTAAGCGATCTCCAAGAAAGCAAGGCCTATCTACAGGCGGCGGTGGACGCCAACACCTCAGGCACCCACTGCATGATCCGAGTTGTTCCGTGGTGTTTCGTGAACGACACCAAGGATGATCCAGATATCTGGGTAGCAGTCTATGTTTCAAGGCCGGACGCAGCAAGGACCACAGCCGAGCCTCTTGTTGTGCAATTTCACAACGTTGAGATTGAGGACCTCGATGGCGTGACTCGGATTGACGGGTGACCCTACCTTTCGCATGTTTAGTTGTAGCCAAACTGACTTTCACTTGCTCGGCGATTCTGAATTATATAAAATGAGACTGTTCCCAACCTCGTCATCTACAACTTTGAAAGCCTTTGCCAAATAACCCGCCTTCCACAGGGTCAAGTCTATAAGGAACATTAAAACCTGCAAGTTCAATATTTCATGTAAGTACTCCGCCATATTCACAATACAATTTGAACTGCGATTTGGCGCGAAAGAGAAGATACTTCATGAAAACGCCAATCATGAGTGCGTTGTTACTTGCAAATACTGGGAATACTACACTACTGTGACAAGTTTCGTACCGATCTAGCCTGCAAGAATAATGTACCTTAATCAACCTACCAATCTGGTACGACTTATAATTGTAGATTGTAGAGGTATTTGGTGATAGCGTATTCTGAGACCCCCAACGACCCTGAAACCGGGGACCCAAAACTCCTATAACTACGAGTCTCGGAGATCTGATATTGGAAAGGATCGGAATGTGAGAAGCTGGGACAACCCTCTTTATGTACGATAGCACCAGTCTTAGCACAATATCACTAAAGACTATCATTGTTCCTTCGAAATTGCTTCTCAAGCGCCCGCATATCATTGCACCCAGCTGTTGTGCCTTGGAAGAAGGGATCGTTGGGCAGTTCATATTTACAAACCAGGTCGGGTCCCCAAAGAGACCACTCTCTGGATCTTATTCTCTCTTTATCAACTGTCCACGAAATTGGTCTTCACAGAGAGCGCCGAATAGCTTTCGGTCCAGTTCCTAACCAAATCAGGGTTAGCTAAGCCCTAAGCCCTAGTGCATGGATATGCACATGGTGAGTCCGCCAGAAGCGTCTAGTTTGTTTATGCTGAACATGTGCAGACCCCATTCCTGACAACAACGTTGGTTGGAAGCCTCAGGCGCATATCGACGCCATTTCTGCAGGCCTGCCGCGGTATGATATCAAAGCAGCCGATATTCAGATTACGCCAAACGCCCCTGCCAACCCTCGTGTGGTTTTCAACAAAGAGAACTCCTTCGTGTACGTGTCATAAACTCTACATATGTTGAAAACATGTTGACTTTGAGGAAAACAGTTGCGATGTCCTACTTGGAGGCACACAAACCATGTGTGGACTCACTTCGTAACCCAGCCTGCCCTGCGGCGTCACCTGCGAACAGAGCACTCTGGAGCTAGTGAGTGTATGGTTCATTCATATACTTTGCATATGCTAACCAGATGTAGACAATGTCCCTGATCGCGCCAAAAGACTGCCATGGAGATCCTCTGCGGGTAGAATGCCCTGAAGCAATGGGTCTTGACTGTTGGGTGGAGAGATGCTGTTTACATGTATGAGCCAGGACGTGGCCCTGAGGCGGGCCCGATTGGCCATTAGGCTTTACAAAAGAACGAGTCAGGCCAGATGCAACTTTGGTAGAGCGATTGTTCACAAGAGGTTCATAGTTAAATCTCTCACTTAACCTCAAGTATAAAAGGCATACGATCATCCCCTTAAAACATATCCATCACAGGTGCAAGCTCGAGAACAATTTTATTTTCATGCCAAGTGGAGCCTGGTCAACTCTTTGTTGAAAACAATAAAGCTTCTGTCAACGACCTCATCCGCAGTCAGCTTTGGAATACGGATGTCGTCGTATGAACCCTCAAATGGGATATATCCAGAAGCGTCCTTCACAACCTCAGTCGATGCCGTTGGAAAAAACCGAGTTGGGTCCTCGTATTCGTAAACCATTGTGAAAGACCCTGTTGAAATCGAGCCGTCAGGCAATCTCACTCCAGCAGGGCATGCGGTCCATGTGTGCGGCACGCCGCCAATAGCGTCAACTAATGAACCTGGAGCAACAACATACACCCTGCCGGCGATCTCAGCCAAACCAACTCCATTCAGTACGATAATGCGCTCATCCGTCAGTTTTCGCATCTCCATGTCCATGTGAATATGACGCGGCAGACGTAATTCCGAAGTGAATTCAATGAATCCCACCTGGCCAGAGAATACCTTTGCACTCTTCGAGCATAGCTCATGCATTGTCAGGTTGATGTCGCTGAAGGGCTTCTTGATATGAGCCCAATCCGTGTGATATTCGACGTCCGTTGTCAAAGGTGAAAGCAGTTTCGGATCTGGCTGCCATTTTCGAGGGTTTAGACGGGAATAACAAAGCGTCGTTGTCAAGGTGTTTCGCTTTGCCTCTCGCGCAATCCACCGAACGTGCGTTATGTTAACATTTAAAAGCTCGGGACTGGAAAAGTGCGGCGCGGTTGGAACGCCGGTGATTCTGTCATCGGCCTTTTCGCCTTTTCCACTAGTCAAACTCCGGCCGCTTATTCTTCCATTTTTGTCTTCCATTTTTGGGGCCTGATGGCGTAATGCCTGATAAGGTTTCTGCTGAACGCCACAGGAGGCTTCTTACTTATGAAATAGATGGGACCAATCTCTTGTACCGTCCCAGACCGAAGCTCAGATCGGTAAGTTCGTTAAATCGTAACGAACGACCGAGAAAGAAACTTCTGTCATTCAAAAAAGTGGAGTGATTCCCTTGTACCGTCACATGTTGGCAATCTGTGCGTTAAATCTGGCTAAACGGTCTAGATGCGGCCAGATTTTCCGCACCGAATGCTGAAAAACAGCCAGATTCTTACAAAATTCTTGGCAACTTTTCCCATTATGGAGGCGTAAGCGGCCCCTGCTAGCGTTGTACATTATGGTCAATGGTGTTGTGTCTTCCTTGTGCTGACAAGAGAGCTTTGATCAGGGAAAGCGTACTTTTTTATGAATTCAAAGCGGTTCTTTAATTTTAACGAACTCACCGATCAGAACACACGCTATCCCGTATTTGATGACCTGCTCCACCGGCTTTAGTGCCGTTGGTCGTGATGCCTCTCTTTCCTTTATGATACTTTAATGTAACCTTATTTACTACAGAAATTGCGCTCTACTGCAAGCTAAGTCCCTGTGAACAGGAAAACAGGATGCCGCAGGCGTCAACTACCGTTGTGTTCTTCCAACGCTTCGCGGCCGAGACCGCCGGGCAGCCCGGTAGACTGATGTCCAGATCCTTGGCCTCCTACCCCTCAATTTGAGCTACGTTTCAGTCTCATCAACCTTCTTATAAAATTCCTCGTCAACCTCTTCGCCTCCTGCACTATCGCCCCCATCAAGACACTCTCTAGCACCATTATGTCCTTCCCATAAATACCCTATTACTAACTCTCTAGATTCCTGGCCTGGACGGCACCCAAGGACACGATCGGTGCGGGCACGAGCTTCCACAAGTGCCTCGCGCTCCTAAAGCAGAAGATACTCCTCTTCCTCCTTCCAGTACTGCCTCGGAAGAACACTACCAATGCAGATAAACTCATAGAGGCCTATGACCCCATATACATGATATACTTGGTCTTGTGTGTTACATTTAGGACCGCTACAGATAAGTTTTCAGCAGAAAGGCTGCTAATATTGTCTATTATTCCCTATTTCAAGAATCTACGTGGTCACGACAAGGGGGGAGAGAGAGTAAAGAAGGAGTGGGGGATACAGGGTGTATCGTGTTTTATTCATTTATACAGCAAAACCTTGCTAATTCAGGAAAAGCCAATTCTTTATACATTCAGATCCATCGTCGGACCATTTTTCAGGCATTAGTTACCAATCAGGCCCTATATAAGCCTTCGGTTCAGCCTCTTAAACGTTGTTCTTACCATTCATTGATCGTCTCCGATAACATTCAACATTCTGAACTGTTTGATTTTTTTTCTCTCTTCTTGAAGCCCTCTTATATCTCTAAGTGAAAAATGGCGGAAGTCCATATTGTCGCAATCTTCTTTCCTACACCTGGTAAGTTGAGAGAGTAGGTACTACGAGTTGATCCCGGTGGCTACATCATACATATTACAGGCAGTTATCTGAATTTTCAATAGATGAAGGAACTCCTCACAAACCAGCGCCCGGAGATCCACGCCAAAGAAGATTATGCGCTCATATTTCTTGTCACGAAGCAAATCGATGTTGAAGTACCTGATTTTGTTTTGTTTGAGACCTAAGGCTTCTTTCGGGATTGGGAGCATGGCTTAATATTCACTTAGCTAGGTACATATCCAAAGAAGCTACCGGCCACCATGTGAAAGAGCCTCATTTCATTCAGATGTTCAATATCTTTGAAGAGGACGGATTGATGGCCAAGAAGCCCTACATCGTGAAGACAGTCACGAGCGCCGGCTTCGAGCTTGACCGAAAATTAATATAAAACCCTAGATATTTTTTCCTACACAAATAAGCTCGATCCCTACATTCTTTAGTCCTGATTATTTTGCTCCTGTCCTCATTTGCTCAGCCAACCACTGTTTCAGCCTCTTGGCACACAGAGCGCACATTGCTAGTCAAATAAGGCCAGTGGCCGAAAAGAGTAATATTAGACGGGTGTGGATTTAGTAAGATCTATCAGGAATGGTGTAACTTTTACTGTAAAAGTGTCGGCACGGGGTCAAACCTTCGGTTTTTGAACGGCTAACTTTACCCAAACTGACCCACGCTTATCTGGGGTTCGTGAACCCCGCACTCTCTTGACGCTCGTCCTGACCTTCCTTTATTAATCCTTTCTGTTAGCACGCGAACTTAATCTGGTAGAGAAACAGTTACCTCTCCCCAAAAAAACCGCATCTCGGGGTTTGAGGCCGCCTGTAAGTTCGTATATGCGGGGAAGATAATAGACGAACTAAACGACGAAAGACAAGTGATTGGTTTGCCTAGGATATCGATCAATCAAACAGTGTCGTCTCATTGACGGTATCTCGATGCCACGATAACAGCCAGATTCCGGAGTAGCCGGATTTTTCTCCTGCTTCGGAATCTCCGTATATCTCATTTAAACCAGCTCGCTTCACATTCGCAGAAGACGTTGCACAGAATTTTACTTCAACTACAATCAGAAAGAAATCCGCGCCATGAAGTCTAGCACTAGCACCAAGACCACATTAGAGAGAATCAGCCCTCAAGGCGTGGATGATTCTTCTCATCCTCCGTGTGAAAATGCCCCCGTAGAGAGCGTCCGGCTAGGATACTCGGGCGATGCCACTGCCATTGACGATGCTATCCTACGTGCCCAGGGCCATAAGGCTGCCATGCCTCGTCTTTTCTCAGCTATGTCCTCTCTGGGATTGATGTTCTGGTAGTTCCTCTAGGTTCCCGTGGTTCACCGCACGATCAGCTAACGCGATCCATTAGCGTGATGAATTCATGGGTGGGAGCAATGAGTACGTTTGGACAAAATCTGCGATACGGAGGGCCACAATGTGCCATCTTTGCGCTTGTGACAGCCACGTTTGTCCAATGGATAGTTACACTGGGTTTAGCAGAGCTCGCCTCTGCATTCCCTAGTTCTGGAGTACGTGCTAGGTCTACTTTAGCTCTATACTGTTCGAAGACTAACCTCGGTATAGGGCCAGTATCATTTTACGTATATCCTTGCGCCTGAGAAGTTCAAGCGGCTTAGCGCCTTCGTTGTGGGATGGATGTCCGTTCTTGCCTGGTGGATCGCGACGACCTCTGGGCTTTCCCTGGTGGCAATCTCGGCCACTGGACTGGCGGCCTTTGTGAACCCAAGCTACACACCTAAAGACTGGCACGTCTACCTGTGCTATCTTGCGATGGCTATGATCTCTGGTGCGTCGATAAATGTGGTTCGGTGGCCTTAAACTGACCATCAATAGTCCTCCCCCTTTTCCTGTTTCCGAAGTCGGTCCCGAAAATCGCATCTGGCTCTATGTATCTGAGTCTGAGTGGTTTCCTGGCCTGGTTTATCATCATTCTAGCCATGAGACAGCACACAAACGATGGTTCATATGTTGTGAAATCAGACATGGGTACTAGCGGCTGGGGTCAAGGAACAGCATGGGCTCTAGGGATCACAAATGCGATGTATTGCTTTGGAGGATCAGATTCGGCTATCCATATCGCGGAAGAGATGCAGGCTCCAGGACGTAGGTTGCCTGTGGTCATGTGAGTATTAGATACACCTACGTTCTAGTCACTCGCTAACTTTCGTGACCCAGGAACCTTACTATGCTCATTGGCTTCTTGACTAGCGTGCCTATCGTGGTCGCTAGCATGTTCACGATGACTAACATGACGGAAGTTATGAATTCTGGCTTCCCTGCTGTTGAGCTTATGTACCAGGTGACTGGGAATCGTCCCTTGACGATATTCTTAGCCGCCTGGCTGATTGTTGTATATGCCAGTGAGTCCTGTCAATCCCCAAATAAACGTTTCCCCACTTTCGATCCTTGGCTGACCTGTATATGCTAGCTGGCATGCCCCCCCAGTTTGTTGCCTGTGGCCGTATTGCCTGGGCTTTCGCACGAGACCGAGGAACCCCGTTCCCAGACTACTTTGCACATATTGACTCGAGGTTGCAATTCCCAGCACGAGCTACCTTAGCAGCACTAGGGTTTAACGCCTTATATGGACTGCTATATCTTGCTAGTACAACTGCATTCAATTCTATCATCACGTCTGCAGTTCTTTTTCTCAACATCACGCTTGCAGCCCCACAGGCCATCCTCGTCCTACGTGGTCGTAACAAGTTCCTTCCAGAGCGGCCATTCAAACTCGGGTACCTTGGTTATTTCTGCAATATATTCTCAGCCCTTTGGATTCCGGTTCTGATAGTTCTGGTGTGTATGCCTCCAGCTCTACCAGTCACAGTTGGTTCTATGAACTACACGGCGCCAGTCTTGGTTGGCATTCTCCTCTTGATACTTGGGGGTTGGTTTGTCTTTGGGCACCAATTTGAAGGACCAAAGATTGATTGGGAGATGCTGAATATGCGAAATACAACGGAGTCTAGCATCAAAAGCTCTGAAGATATTCAGTTCTAAAGCCCTCAGCAATCAGGATGACAAAGCAGTGAAACCAAGTATGGGGTTTGGACAATGGACACTGGATGATTTCCGGATGTGAGTGAGGCAACATCAGATGAGTTTGAGTTCGAGTGTATTGTCATGAAGGTGATTGTGTTTATCTGTTCTAATAAATCACTCTATATTACACAAATATGGCAATTTGAGTTGATTCGTTCGGCATTAACCGGACTCGCGTGGGCGACTCTAGACACTAGCCTAGAGTTGGCCGATCTTTGCAACAGTGGGTACTAGGTCTGGCATGGCAGTGTGGTCGAGTTTTGTACCTTCTCAACGAGTCAGGCAGATCTCTGGGGAAATGAAGCAAATGAGGAATCAGAAGGAGCGGAGAGAGTGATAAGCTCAGCGTACAGCGGAGCGCGTCGAACATGAAGACGACGATACCGGAAACGAAAAAGCCGAAGTTGCAGCTTTTCGTTTTCGGAGTCCTCGTATCGGTCATCCACTCGCGACAGACCGCTGTGCAAAAGAAAAAAAAAATCCTTGTACTTCAGAATTAATTTGGCATTGCGTTCATAGGAGGTGGTACAGGCGATGAATGCGCTCGTCCGCGGCCACAGCTTGATCTATTATCAAAGCACAGGACGATCTCGAAGGCGGCTTCGAGGCTCTGCGCTTCCACAGCGTGGTACATAGCCATAAACACAAACTGGATCTACTCTTTATTTGCATTTTCGAATAGTACTTTGGGTACTGTATATATATATATTTTTTTTTTTTTTTTATCTTCTTTATTTTCTTTTATTTTCTTTTATTTTTTCAGTGCGAGTCCAGCAATTGCATTTTGCGGGGATCAATGACAGGTTGGCTCAGAAGGCGATCTCGAATGTCGCCAATCTCACTTCATCTTTCCGCTACATAAAGGCTCAGTCAACTCGACACTGCCTCGAGCATAAAATAGAAATTGTGCTGCCTCACCGGAAATATCCTCAGATCACCGCTTCTGTCCACTATGTTAGTCACCGTACACGGCAGCATCATGTTGAGTCGATTTAGCGTACCATGCGATGGAGGATGTAAAGGCCCTTACTTCTTTTACATGCTGGAGAATAAGGTTGACTTCACTCCTAAAATTCTACAAACCGTTGAGCCTCGAGCTCAAGGACAAAGTTATAGCTAAGTACTTCGCCGAGGCGTCTTTGCCGCCTTCGAGAATTCCATGATTTTTCCTACAATATTAATATTGAATAGGCTATACTGGTGAGTACAACATTATATCAGCTTGGTTGATGAGTTCTGAAGTGCAGATCAAGAAGCCATACAGTGTCAACCAATTCTCTAATATACATTAAACCTATAAGTAAATATAGAGCTTTATAATAGTGACAAGCGACAAGTGCTGCGAAAATCTCGGTTATTCCCACGTACAAAGATTCTATATCAGTTAACTAGATCTTCTGTCTGTTAGGACACTTCTCGAAATCATGATGTGTGGGGTGAACACATGGGTATCGAACCCGAAGGAAGCATTTAGGCATCAAGTCTCCAATACCTGGCCACAAAGGGGCAACCGCATTGTAATTACTTTCTTTTCTTCAAGATTCAGCCGCTGTGGCAAAACGCTGTCTTAGCTTTCCGATTCTGAGTCCCTACCTAATCAACAGACTATCTACCTTGCAAGTAGATACTAACACTTTGTTTTAAAATTAAATATTGACTCTCAGGGCCATTTTATTATTATTCGTACCGATAATAATAGAATATACGCTGCAGGTACTCTAAAGCATGGTATATATCTAGCCTGTTAAATCTTACTTATATTCGATATTCTCCACAAAGTACTAATATTGTGGTGTCAGAATAACGAAGTATTCTATTCTTGCAAGTAATATAGCCAACCTTCAACAGAGACATAGAGATCATTGCGTTATATTTATTCTAATAGTCAGGCTAGATAAGAAGCTCCTTATATTTGTACATGAAGTTGTTGTTCGAGAAGCAGAAGGAATAGCACACAATACTAGAGGAATAACAGAGACATATCTGTCTCCTCGGCTCTGTTACCTTGCAGCTAATATAAACAGTCTAGAATAGACTAAGAGGCATATTGTCAGCCAAATAATTAGGTGGGGCTCCATATCAAAGCAAAATAATAATAAAATCACTGCCACAAAAAAACCTTGAAAAGATCAAGGGGAAAAGAGATAAACGGAGCATCTATTACCTTTCCTATTTTCTAACTATACTGGCAAGCGTAAAGTTACGCTTAGTAGTTCTAGCAAGGCAGACACAGAGTTCCTATCAGAGGTGACTAAAAGGTACGATCCTGACCATGTATACCAAACTAAAAAAAGGCTCGTTTAAATTGGACAAATCTTACAAGCTTTTCGTGGCTATAGAATAGCCAGGTTGTCTCAAGCTACAGAATAACGAAATTGCTGGCTTGTTTTCGTTACGGAAGCCATTGAATATGTAGGTAGGCACCATGTAGAACGCATCGTCTCCATTGTCGCAACATCTGGAGAGTCTCGGAAAACACACTCGCACTTTTGAAGGCTATATGACCACGGGAGCACGCTTTATTCTTTAAACTCTCGCTTTTTGACTCGTGCATGGAAGTTATATTGATGGACGCCAGCCCTATGAGACCATATGAGCGTCCTCCTTGCCAGTTGCTTCTTGAGTGGCACTTACCCGGAAACAACGGTCCAGTCAGACTTGGGATCCGGAGATTCGAAATCCAAAGATAAGAGAAGGGACGGTACAATCTATTGAACATCGTCAGACCTCTTCTTTTCTCGATGGCTCTACTCGAGAATGACGAATGACATACCTTCCTCATCATCAACCACGAAAGGTCTGAGAACGATTAGAAGTGGCTTTTAGTTGTGAGGTGAAGGGGCAAGGGGCGATTTGTTTACGAACTTTTACCAAGGCATGTCCTAGACCCTAAACCAAATCCCATAGAAAATCGTGCTAGAGATAGAGGGTCAAATCTGGAGTGGTCACGGGTACTCTTGAAAGAACTTACACATATTTGGTTGGCCAACATCAAGCCACCTTTCGGGTATGAAAGATGAGGTGTCGGCACCAAAGACTTCCGGCATCCGACTTATCGCAAATGCTGGAGCTCCGATAGTAACCTATAAGACACAAGTTGTAAGCAGGACTGAGTAAGAGAATACGACATTAACGCTCCATACTCCTGCTGGAATGTGCTGGCCGAGTATTTCTTTTCCGCCACTGGGTGTTTCTCGAGGCAGGATACCACCAATGCTGGGAAACATCCGTTGCGCTTCTTGTAGGACTGCATTAAGGTAAGGACACGCAGCAGCCTGTTGTGAGGTGCAGATAGTGTCTAACTTCCCGGCGTTTAATTTCTGATCAAGCTCCTGCACAAGTTTGTCAAGTTTGTCTCGGTTGTGGATCAGGTGGTAGAACACAGAGTTCAACCAAGCGCTACCATCTGTTACACCAGCTTTCACCCCAAAATCAACAAGGTGTGCCACTTCCTCATCTGTTAATGAGTTGGAACTCTTAGAAGCTTGTACCTGAAATAGCTTTGAGGCGATATTGCGTTGCGCTTTGCCCCTATGAACATTGCTGGGATCTTTAAAACCCCGCAAGAATGCTTCGATACTTCGGCTGCTCGCATCTGGCTTTCTTTTTGACCGAAATAATTTTTCGGTCACGAATTGTGAAGCTTTTGCAAAGTAAAATAACGCCGGTGTCATGCCATACAGATGAGCCTGCCTGACAAAACGTGCCACTGCGCCGAACGGGTTATCTTCAGGACTACTGTCAATATAGCCCTGGTTTTGTTCAAATGTCAAATCACACATGCAATCTGTTGGGTATCAGCCATGTCGGACCAGCACGCAGAAAGCTCTTAGTACCAAACAAAAGCCTCTCGAACCACTTTCCGAGATCAATATTTGTCCCTTTGGTTTTCTGCATCTGCGCAATAAATTTCTTGATTGAACCATCAATATTTGCGTCCAGATCCTTCACGCCAGTAGCACTGTATACATGTGAGAACTGCCTCTTGAATTTGCCGTGCAAGGTTTCGTTTTTCTCAACGAAAATATCGATATTTGGACCGGGCACGCGAAACGGCTCGTAATAATCACTTTTCGGAAATGGCGCCGCAACGTTGTAGATCTTGCGGAAGGTAGCGGAATCTGTAACGCTCCTGGTAGAACCATTCTTTGTGAGTGGCAAATCCCAAGAATGATGGCAATCAAGCGTCGTACAATTTGGACGGACCTATGCGAACGAGCGGACCATACCGCGCATGCAGATCATGCAATGCGACATGCTCGTTGCCTGCCCAGATCAGATTTACGTGCCATAGATTCGTGATTCGGGCCCAAAATGGGCCTGGGAACCGTGCAAGGGGAGAAAAAAAAGCCGATAGATGCTCCGGCATACAAGGAACAGCAGGAGTACGCCCAACAGCATGAGTATGCGCTGTGGTAGAGTCAATCCCAAGTTGGCGCCCAAGAAGCTTGTCAAGAGCGTCATTTTTTGTACTATAGCTGTAAAATATGCAAAATGTGATCGTAGTTTAGGTGGGATCGAATACTTTCTTATGTTTTGATCGTGTCAAGCCACGGCCCTGCCGCTAATCCCTATTAATGTGGAATCTCCGTGGCTTAATTGTTGGTTTAATCCGAAAGTCCGACATTTTCAACCGTGAAGTAAAGTCCCAATGCGGGGTAGTCTGCGATTAACCCTGGGTTTGGTGTTACGAAACAGCCTGAATAAGACTACTGTAAGGAGCTACTGTAGACATTTCGCGATCTCCAAATTGGAATCATTGGCTGCGTTCTGTACTAGTGTATACCAGAGCCGTATCAGCATGGAAATCCCGAAATACCCGGCCTCTAGTAGTCGGGCCCGACAATACTTGGTAACTATCTGCGGAGCAAGACCTCGGACTTTGCTCCGTACCATCTTGCTTCGGAATCAGCGAGGCACTATGCTTGTTCCGAAGATACGATGCTCTGTAAGACACTCGATGAGAAACCCCCGAACGTTATTTGGCGTGGTGGCCGAGACACTCAAGCCCGATCAAGTGATCAAACCCCCGGAATTTTTGGACGAGCAGAAAATGCCGAGGAGATAAGGATACAAACCGTTCAGATTCGGAGCGACTGGTTATATTTTGTCAACACGTTGTCCACGGGTGGATGAGATAGATATTGGACTTACGATTGATTTGCTCCGAGAGCCATCTGAAAAAATATAGTAGTTTCGACCCTTGAGTCTGGTTCACAATGTATTCATGGTCGGGCGGACTTTAAGACCGGATTTTGTTTGTGAGAATCCGACCCAGTCACTTTACCGTTGTGCTCGCTGTCGAGCACGCCTGATTGCACTCCCGCATAGCAGCTGAACTTAAGGCAAGCTAAATCGAGCAAATGAATACTACTACTACTACTTACTACTAGTGTCGCCGCAGCTCGGTCCGCAGCTACGACTGGACGGTAGTCATCTTTTTGACTCCATCTGCAAAGGAGTGCCCAAAAAATACCGCCTCAAGTTGCATTTCATTGCTTGCCTTGAAGGCCTGCCTCATGACAGCCCCATGGCCAAGACTTGAGATGTAATTTGCTTTTCGGATCATAGCCAGCTCATACCCATCTTTGATTACTCGACTTTGCTCAATGGCATTTTTGAGTTCCGATAAATCGAACCTGTCAACTAAATCCAGCTGCCACGAAATCTGGTCTGCAATAGTCTAAACTGTTGGCCTTTGAGAAGCGGATAGATCAGCAAGTACAAGTACATATCCAAGGTCCGTCGTCAACTTGACATGGTCTACGTCGTATGCCTTCAGAGCTTCCTCCGTGTTCACAGGCATGCCTGACCACACAACATCGTCATGGTCAACAGGAGGAATGAAAATAATGGATTCGGAGGAAGCTATGTCATAGATGAAGCAACAATTGCTTAAATCACATTCTGTAAGGTAATAGAAGTACCGACACTGCCAGAAATGGTGTGAGCTAGAAATAAAGCCAAGTGTTCAAGATTGAGCCTACCGGTAATACTGCAGCTCGTCGCTGTCTTCCCAGATCCTGACTCTCCCACCCTCAAGGAATATAAGACTGCGAACGTTACAACTTTTTGTGAGTGGGATTTGCCGCGATATTTCTCCTTCAATATTTCCTCAAAATCCTCGAGAAGCATAATTCGCGGACTGCGGGGTCTGCTTTTGACATGTAGTAATAGAGTAAAATGAAAGGTCGAAATATCGAGCGAACTACCTGCCACTAAAACTTCTTAAATTGTCATTCGAGGTGCAGATACTATCGTGGAGGTATCTCATGTCAATAACTAGAAATGAAAAGCTCACCGATGGACCATATCAAGATGGTTGCCATCGGCTAATTCGTCTCCGGGGTTGGCGTTTAGTTCTCGGGGAATGGGAGTACGGGAGATCTACGGGGAATATAAAGTTGGCCGAAGAGCAATTTTATCTCGCGATTCATGGTATTGCGGTTTCAAAGAAAATTCGCTGACAGATTGCCCTAGTCAGTCTTCTGCGGTCTTCCATCTGATGTGGATTATTAGCTTGAGAGGCGACGGTCCCGCAATTGTTCTAATTCTCCGTACATGGTCCCACCAAATGCTCTCGTTATTTTTGATATAAAGGCCTTCAAATCCGACCGAGACATCCAGAAGCTAGTTATCACTTATACATCCATTGCCGAGGACTCCATGCCTACAGTCCCACCACGCTTCAAGAGCTCCATAGCTTGTATGAAAAATGAGTCAATCCGTAGAATTACTGACCGAAGGATCATTTTTGCAGCTATATTTTCTGTTGTTCAAAGTCGCTTTATCAACCGATGCAAATTTTTCAATATTTAATAGGCTTTCTCAACATTCCGTGGCTCACTGGCGAGAAGAAACAAGGAAATTTCCGCACAAATTAAATTGTGACCGAGCTTCTGGGTGGGTTAGTTGCATGTTTCAAAGGTTCAACCAGGAACTTAAGACGACTCCAGAAGCTTGTGAGCTCCTTCTCCATGATACAATCCATAAATATTGAAGAATTTCCAAATTCCTCTAATGTGGCGGGTAGAAATCGCCGGAAACTTGTAGTATGTGTCCCTCACACACCAGGGGTTAAACGCGACTGCTAATTACTCATCCTCATAGCAAACCTCCTGTCGTCGCGTCCTTTCGTACTCATATGCCTTTCGTGGCTGAACGTCGCCATAACTTCAAGGACCCGGATATCGACGGGAGTTGCTCAGCGACATGAGCGGATTGGATCGATTAATTTTGTTTTCCGTTGTCTCAAAAAAAAGAATATCCTTTTTCAAATCTGAAAAAAAAAAAAAAAAAAAAAAAAAAAAAAAAAAAAAAAAAAACTTTCTCACGCCATTTCCCGTGCTAACTGAAATGGAGTGGTGCAGTACCACAAAGCCAGTGATCTTGAGGTGTGTAAATCTTTTTATTCTATGTTACGCGGCAACCAAGTTGGGCATCGTGGCGACGAAGGACAGAGTTGGCGAATGAACGTTGTCCTATATTCGTTTTCAGCATGAACCACAGATCCCATTTTACTTTCGAAATGCTTTTTTTTTCAGCTTCTTTCATACTGTGAGCTATTGATAGCCGCATTGGCCCCAAAGCCGAGGGACTTGTCCTCTTTGGCTACAAAAGCATGTCTTTAGTGGAGTACTCACGCAATACAACAGTTTGGATTCATTTGTTTGATCGGTCCTGGTAGAGTATTTCCTACTATTCTATCGCAAAGGCAGCTGGATCTTTCTTGGTATATTGCAACAGGGACACGGTTGGCGCCGTTTTGAGACAGTTTTGAATCGCTTTAGCGGCTCCCTATGCCTAGCTCAATTTTCTCACGGCCCAGAGCTAGGCCAGAGCATGGGTAAGGCCTGAGGTCGCAAGAAGTTTGCCTGGGTATCACTGGTTCCGGGAGCGCAGCTCAAATAACTGTAGCGCTGATTTCCAAATCAGCGCTAGTATATTGGCTTTCTCACGTAGGGGCCGTCACTCCTCTTTCTGGGCGCAGTAGCGGTCTGGGGTTCTCCTTTAGGCTGCCTTTATCTGTCCTGAGGGTGCTTGAGACTTCTAGTGCCTGTTTTTCTTCGAGATGACTTACTGCCATTCCTGAACCACCGGCTTCATGGCTAGTCACGCTGGTAGGCCCGTTAACCTTGGTTTTCAGCTCTGTAAGCTGACTGGGCGATCACCTGGGCTTCGGTATCTGTTGTTGGGCCATACGCATCGGCGAATGTTGTTAGACGTTGATCATGGACATAATACCATCAACTAATCCCCGATGCTGTGCCTGTCAGAACTTAACGCTGAACTTGCTGATCTCAATTTGAGCTCTGTGATTTGGTTGACGTACCAACCTCCACCTAATTGCGAGGCTTGTAGTCCAATTTCCAGTGAATTAATCCCCTGCAAACTGTATCCGTATTCGCTAGAGGACGCCCTGGTACGCTTCTTGCTGCTGAGTTTGAGCGATATCGCAGAGACCTTCCATCGAATTAGTTTGCTTTGCTGAATCTAGAAGAGAAGGTTGATATCTATTTCTAGCTACAGTGTCTCTCTGGGACCTTTTTCCTTGTCTGATTCGCTCCAGGCTTCGCTTGCCAGGCTTAGGCTTCTGCTGGGCCCCATTTTCCGATAAGTTACTTGAATTAGTTGACTGTATTGACTATCCTGGGTAACCTGAAGACTGACTGGATGCTATGTTAAATCCCCTGGTCGTCAGCGCTCTGGTATTGCGGTTTCTGGTGCATCTCATTCCTTCACGACATCGGAGGCTACGTAGCTCATTGGGTTGCCTACGTGTGCAAAATGCCCCCACCATATGCTCTGGGGCATCCACGGTGATTATTTGGGGTCAGGATTTCTTTTGATTTGCATGATGCTTTAGAACACCTTTTTTGAGTAGATGCTTGTTTTGCTTTCCCAGCGGTTGTTGTTCACTTGTTAGCTCCTCGAGAGCTAAAACCTGATTCATGTCTGCTTTTCCAGATGTTGGGTGTTGGGTAGTAGCATCCTAGCACGTGTAAATGAATGTACCGTAAAGAGCAACAAAAATATAATGAGGCTTTGAATTGCTTCACCTTCGTATGTTGATGGCGGCGAGAACTCAGGAGAAGTCGGAAGGCGCCATAACGAGGACCTGAGCAGGAGATCACGAAACGGGGAGAGAGTAAGAACCGCAGATGACGATGATATTCCTAAGTCATCTCTCAGAAGGAAAGGTCTATCTACAGGCGGTGGTGGGCGCTGAAACCTCAGGCACGCACCTCAACATGTGTTCATTCCCTCGGTTGCTGGCGTCCGAGTAGAATCTGACCTCTCGTGGGAGGATCCTACAGCTGCCTCAATATCTTCCAGATGTATTGGAGTCTCATTATCGTCGGTTGGTCCTCTGCAAACCAAATTGCACGGCAGTGTCTTTTGCAACCAATTGCTTCGTATTCGGTCAAGCGCAGCCTTGAAGTCGTCCAGAATAATGATGTCGCAAAGGCATTTGAAAATGAATGATAGCTTAGGTATCTAGATTAGGATTGATCTGAACCGTCGGTATGGTGGAAACACAACTCACTCTCCAGAAAGGTCCCGCGCCTTTTGGCAGACTTAATGGCAAGGCGCCCAAAACGCTGCATGCATCGAGGACAGTGAACACAAGCGATAGACACATCGAAACTAGCAGGATCCCAAAACGCGGGCTAATCGTCACTAGCTCGAAGATTCGAAGGCTATATTGTCGTCTGATGATGTAGAACAGGTGGCAAGTGGTGAAGACCCACCAAGGATCACTAGCACAGGTTAGCACTTTTAAGCATTATCCAAAAGAGGTTTTACCGAAAGAGGGGCTCCAATGGTCTGGTTATCTGGAATATATTGTTGATATTATTGAAATAAGTGAAGTTCGCGTAGATCTCTACCACCCAATACGGTTGCACAAGTATCACGGTCCCGATATAGAAAATGGATCCTTTGCGGGACAAAAAGGGCCGGTTCTTCATCCACGTAATGATGTTGTGCAAAGACCATGACATACAAATGGTGGCTGCAGTTGCTGCGAGATACCAGCTGTATACAGGGTCCGGTGCGAAGATAAATGTGCCATGGGGCATTCCCAAGATAAGCTATCGAAAATATGAGCTATGTCCGGCAGGATGGCCGGTCAAGAGATACCAGACCTCTGTTAGAATCAACTTGTGCAGAAGAATTCGCCTTCTCATGTTGGCAACTGCGACGGCGGCCATGATTAAAAGTGAGCCAACCATGAGCCCTTGGCTCCAGGCTTCCAGAATGAGGCCATTTGCTGAGGATGGGCGGCCTCTATCATCGCCGGGCATATTACTTGAAGATATATAGATTGAATCGAGATAAAAGTCATGAATGTATCGTCTCGTCCAAAGATGTATTGGTGATGATAAGGCAGCAGGTAGACGTTGAGGGAGGGAACGAACAATTTTACTACAGTTCCGTCTCTGCAGGTGAGAGTAATAAAAGGTAGAGCTGGGGAGCTTCAGGGACTATGAGCGCCTGAGCTCGTCTTTCAGAGTTCAAGTTCGACCGGGGCGCCGATCGGACCACTACAGTGGCACCGCAAAAGTCTGTGACCACTCCCTCTGACCGCCCTATTCACCGCCTACACAGCGTCCCTGATTGAACTACTAGAACGCGTCGCGAATAGTGGCACGATCAAGGGAATCTCTTAGAGAGTATGCCGTGTCGCGTATAGGCTATTACTGATTCTAGTGAGTGGTATACTAAGTATGAGTTTAATTTGATTATTTTGAAGATTTTAGTATGGCAGAATATAGGTGGCAGAAAGGGGCGGGTCAGAGGGGGTTGGTCACACTTTTGCGGTGCCACTGTACAGTGGCACAGGTATCACGCTAATTATTCTGCCGGCAAATAGTGGCTGCACCACTCATAAGTTGTAGTTAGTTGGCGGTATGTCCTCAATAAGGAGGCGGTAAAGGAAGGTACTTCGGGTGGTCGAAAACTTTCGAGGTGCCACTGTACATGTAGAATTACTAGTGTATACGCCCATTGATAACTCCAACATTAGACTTTTTTTTGGCTCGGTCTTGATTGCATACGCGTATTGTAATTTTGATGCTTGATTTTAACAGTAGCTTGGAAGTTTGCTCAGAAGCTTGTTACACAATTTCGCCACGATGCGAGTGACTGGTCTTGCCCAAATTCGACTGGTGTGATCAGTGCTCCACATCAGAAAATATTGGTCGGATTGGTCTAGGCTGGATGCGAACATTCTTGCAGAGTATTGGGCCCTTTCCAGCTGCTCGTATGATCTGGGGAGGGACATCTGTAGGACTTGTCAGCAAAGTAGGGCGAATTGGACTTTGGGTTGAAGAGCTACTGCAACGGCCCATTTGCCCATCAGTATAAAATCATCATTCGCCACCATAGGAAGCCACGGCTATGCCCGCCCAACTATATCCGACCGCTATCAATCGTACTATGGGAAAGACCGTTGGTTAGGTAGCAATTAGTAGATATGAGGGAATCAGTGGACATGTGCTGGCAGTAGGCTTCCGCCAGGGTCGGGTGACGGGCAACCGTCGCTGTCTTGAAATGTCCGAGATCAGGTGATGGCATCGGTCCTTTCGCTACGACATCCCCACTGCCCCTGTCGCCGCCTCGCTCTCAATCTCGGACTTTGCAGAACCCCCCACCCAAGGTCCCCGGGGTCTTCCGAGGTTGCAAAGTTCCATTTCTTCGATATCGATACGGAGCATCTTGTCATCGCATTTAGAGAGATAAAGAGGCCTTCTCGAGGAATTCTCGGTACTAGTATTACTAGAATAGGGTATCCATAAATACGAGGCGAGTTTTGTTACTAGTGCGGTGACAGCCTTAACAACACCGCAGAATTCAACATTACTACGATTGCGCCCAAATATTTTGTAATTGCCACCGCACTTCTTACAGTATTCAAGGCTTTTCTTTGGCGAAGATTCGAGTGGGGCATGGCCTGTGTTCAATACAGACCTAATTGGCGAGTTCCGGCTTCATACAGTAGCAACCGTTACTGGAGGTTTTATGTTTATAGGTACGAATTCGAATTTGATAATCTGGCTCTACGGTTGAATAACGATGCTAGTGCAATTAATATTGGTATATACGACTCATTGGGAGTTCCTTAATGGTCTCGCTGTATAGGTGGTAGCTCTGTCGTCCTCGACTTCCTTACTATTGAATTCGGAAGCTGCCAAGATCGCCCGTCGGTGTTTTGTTCCGTGGAACGGGATTCTCCGATATTCTCCCATACAAGTTACGTTTTATCTCCATAATGCCTCCGTCGGTACAACGAACCGTCGGTGTAAATTGCCTAAATTGCCCTGATCACAAGTAATAAAAGGGCTGGAGCCGCACTGAGGTTTGATTCCCTCTGAATTCTCTCACCCACTTTCCCTTGTCACGCTGAATATCCCACACCATATTTGCATTCAAAAGAAGCTCGGAAGAACATACCTTTGACAAAATGGCTATTCATCCTGTCAGCCTGGCTCTCACGGCAGCACGAGATAGATACATCCAGCGCAACCCTGTTTCGAACAAGCTGCATGAAGAGTCGCACGAATTCATGCCCGGTGGGAACACAAGAACAATTCTACATGTTTCGCCCTTCCCCATCACCTTCGCATGCGGCAAGGATGCCACATTGACCTCCGTTGACAACGACACCTATGTCGATTTTCTCGGAGAGTACAGTGCCGGTATTTTCGGCCACTCTAATGCTCTTATTGCAAAGGCTGTTCACGGGGCCCTCTCGAAGGGGTGGAACTACGGCGGACAAACTGTTATAGAAAAAACCCTGGCCAAGAAGGTTGTCACTCGATTCCGTCCCAGCGGCATAGACTTGGTTCGGTTTACCAACTCTGGCACCGAATCCAACACTGTGGCCATCGCCGCCGCCCTAAACATTACCGGGCGCCGAAAGATCCTAGTCTTTAGCAACGGCTACCACGGCGGCACACTGATCTTTCCAATGGACCTGATAAAGAACCCAGCCACACGCAACGTCAACCTTCCTCACGAATTTGTGTTCGCTCCTTACAACAATATCGACGAGACTGAGGCCATTATTAGCTCCCTAGCCCCACAGAGTCTCGCAGCTATTCTTGTGGAGCCTATTCAAGGCTCTGGTGGCTGCCGACCAGCAACAAAGGATTTCCTTCGTTATCTGCGTCAAGAGGCTGATGCTCAGCAATGCTTGCTGATCATTGACGAAGTCATGGCTTCAAGGCTCGGTCCAAACGGCTGCAGTGCCGCTATGGGTATCAAAGCTGATATTATGACGTTGGGAAAATACGTCGGAGGTGGTATGACCTTCGGAGCTTTCGGTGGAAGACGAGATATCATGGAGGTTTTTGATCCCGAAAAGTCTGGCCTCCAACACCCCGGCACTTACAATAACAATATCGTCACCATGTCAGCCGGTGTCGTCGGATTGGATATTTATAACAGCTCAGAGGTGGAAAGACTGAATGCATTTGGCACCAACTTCAAGATAAAACTTCAAGAGGTTCTTATCAAGTACGGCATTTATCGACAGCATCCAGCTGGTGCATTCCGAAACATCATCGAAGTAGACAGCTTCAAGAACGACACTCTCATAAACCCAGAAGATTCATCGCTGGCACCCCATGAATCGCTACCAATTATGTTCATCACCGGTCACGGTAGCATGGTGAATGTCCGATTCAGTGGGCCTTGCGCTGCGGATCTCAGGGCTCTGTACTACTTCCACATGCTTGAGAACAACATCTACCTGGCTCCTCGAGGATACACGCCGTTGAATCTTGAGCTCAACGACAAGGACGTGGTGAAGTACTTGGCGGCCTTCGAGGATTTTGTGACTAAGTATAGCTCCCTCTGTTGAGAAATCAGCCTTGTTTTAGCGCTGAGGACTCCTGCAAAATATCCTCATGACCGTGTACATTCAGGCATTGCCGTGCCCCAGTAGACTTGTCCACACTGTTTTTGTATTACAAATAGTCGTTCTGTTGAAGGGTATAAAGTGCTCTTCCATTGAGGGGTTATTTTCCCAATCTCCAGTCTCCTAATAATACTCGTTTTGCTATGGGGACCCGGTGGGTCTGCGGAAGGACGGACAAACCAGTGTGGAGGAAAGGTCTAGGGGTGACACCACACGCGACGCGCATGGGACGTCCTCAGGTCGGCATTAAATCGAGGGAGGCAGAAAGGAGCTTTAATAAAACACGCGATGCGCATAAGATAATAGGGGGTCTAAGAAGACAGACCCGGCGACACATATTACCACTTTCGAAGTAGGACACAAGTGGGTCCCCAAATCGCAGCTTCTGAGAGCCCAACCTTGACCGCCCATCCGGGCAGAACGCAACGCCCCAGTGGTGGTCGGTCGGAATAAGGTGTAGGCGGTTTGTCAAGCCGTTGAGAGTTTCGACCACTTCGAAGTGCGCTGATGTAAATAATGCGGTGCTTTCGATACTAACATTACCTGCATTGGAGACAGGCGGTTCGAAAGATCATTGATTCTGCGTTCGTCGTCTTTTCATGCGCGAGAATTGGCAGGTTTCGCCGCGTCTCTTAGATCTCTTAGACCAGTAAGCTTTGCTCGGCAGGGTCTGCATGGATGCGGACGGCGAGAGATAATTGATACAATTAAGGTCATTATTGCGATGCTCTACTGCCATTTTATATTGATGAGAAGCGAGTAATACAATTTATGACTGGAGAGCTTGCTACTCAAAACAATGAACTTTGCGCACTCCACAACTGCAATGGCCTAACCGATGCAAAGGGGCGAGCGGTACTGGCATATTGCACAAGTATCTATTGACTTCTCATACAGTATGTTAGCGCGGTGACACGTCCGTAAGAAAAGGTGATAAGGGCTGGTAAGATCCGAGGCTGACTGGCCCGTAGCCAGGATGCCACGCCACTCGACCTTTCTACCCCATCCAACCTCTTAACAGCAAACATATGCCATTCGAAGCTGTTTACATTAGACAGATAAAATCTTTGCTTTACTACTCCGGAGGATCTATTGTAGCATACCCCGCACCTGACGCCCGATTTACGTCACGGGTAATATAACCAGATGCCGAAAGAAATTGAAACCCCGAAGCTCGGGAACCTTCTCTAAACTCACAGATAAGCTAATATCCCGAATTTTCCCGTGCTTTGGGGATCATACACCATAATTTGAACCTCACAGACGATCAACGTGAGACTAGCCCTTAAGTCCTGACGCGAACATAATGCCCAAGAAAGTCCGACGTTCATTTGATGCATGCTGGACCTGCCGGCGCCGCCGAGTAGCGTGTGATAGCGTCTTACCAGCATGTTCGCCCTGCCGGAAAGTTTCAACAATCTGTGAAGGCTACAGTGTCCGACTCGTTTGGGTCGACAGCGAAAAGGGCATGTATGTGTCTCATTCACGACGCTCACTAGATCCACTTTCAACGTGGGCAGGACAACAACCATACAGCGCAGCCCAGTTAGAGCACTTGACAGACATCGGCTGTGAAGAGACATGCTGCCAGTGTATATTACACCAAGGAGCGTCCAACCCTTTCCGCATATTCAGACAAGCCGATCCTCCTCGAGAGACGGATACTGTGGACTCCTCAGGGAACGCCTCAAACACGACGAGCAATCCAGATTCCTTGCCAACCACACCGACATTACAGAGTCTATGTTCAAGTCGGACTTGGGTGGAAGATACGCTATTAGATCATTACGTGAACCACGTCGCATTTCTCATGATGCCGGTTGACTCTAAAGGCAATCCTTGGCGTCATGTCTATCCATCCATAGCGATTCACCATGGGTCCTATGGTAGTAGGAGTCTATATGACGCACTCCTGTCCCAGTCAGCCTTCCATCTCTCTGCTCTTCACGCGAACAGACACGGTTTAGCGCAGTGGTACAAGCTGCAGGCAATGAGGCGATACTCTTCCGCCGTTGGGTCTTTGCGTACTAGCCTAGATCAGCAGGTCGACGATTTCAGTGCTTGTGCTGCTGCGCTTTTCACACTCGCGCAGATCGAGGTAGGTGACCTGAATCTCAATTTTTTTTTTTTTTTAACTAACGTTTCTGCAAAAGGGCTGTTATGCACCCGAATGTGACGAATGGCGCAAGCATCTTCTTGGTATGTCTGGGTTGCTTACCTTTTTCTCACATGATAGCCCCTGGACAATGTCGTCCGATGCTTGGGTGATTTCACAGAACTTGGCTCTCTCTTTAGAGATTGCTCGCACTGGCTCGGGAGGTTCTTTTGGCTGTCGCTATAACACTGATCACCTTCTGGAGTCTATATCACGAATAAGCCACTTCGGCTACACAATTGGTGCGAGTAACGCTGTGTTACAATCAATCATGAAAGTGCATCGTCTTGCAGAGGCCCTCAGAAGTGGTGAGTCGCTTATAGAAGTTGAAGTTCAATGCGGAAAAATTCTCGGCGAGCTTGGTACCTCGGAATCAGACACGATAATCACGCCGCCCTCGCAGAGTCGCCAGGGGTACCTCAGCAGCTTACATCGACGTATATTCCGCAATGCTGCCGTGATTTATTTGTATCGGGTCATTTATGACGTTGCACCCATCGCTATTCGAGACCAGGTTTTCAACGTCCTCTGCGATACGATCAGCTTCCTAGACGTGAAGGGTGGTAGCGTTTCGCTTTGGCCTGTCTTTATTGCTGCTGTGGAAGCGTGCTCAAAACAGGAGAGAGACTTGGTGAGACAATGGTTAGAATACTCCTGCAAATTAGGCATTAGCAATCGTCGTGCAGCCCGGTGTATCATTGAGGAAGTCTGGAAACAGCGTGACCAGGAAGCGTTGTTGAGAGATATTGAACCAGAATATGTCGCTGTAGACTGGCGTCAGGTCCAATATCGCCTCAAGATCGATATTCTTTTGCTTTAATCACAGAACAAGTCATTGTGGTTGGCATGCTGCCGGTTATTGCTTCAAGGAAGATGGGAATATCGAGAGCAGTGATATTTTGTATAATCCCTAGTTATCACCCTCATCAACTAGAGGTTGGTTATGATTTAAGGGAATCTCGCAGCCAATTTTAGCAAAATTGAAAAGTTTAAGCGTCTTCGCGGGCTGTTTCAAACTGACCTGTCAGCTTCTTAGGGATATCGTAAACAAACGACGAACTAATTTCCAGACCACAGGTGCTAAAAGTAGAGTTTCAAGTAAATCGCTTAGAGTCATTTCACTCATTCCTGGCGTGGATGGAGCTGTCTCAACTGGGTGGTACTATCCTGCGATAAGGTAGGTTCTGGATGTCTGTTGGCCTATTCAAATTCCAAAACCGAAAATTCCAAAAACGAGCAAAAGAATGCTAGTAATAATCAATTGTTGCTCTTATTTTCCCTTATATGCCTCGCCTTTTGTTAGATTTTCTGAGTCTACTCAAATACTACCAATACGGGTGGCTGGACTTTGCTATCCTAGTCGGGCAATTGATTATTAAGGAAAGACTTTTAAGTTAACTATAGGAATGTGGACCATTTACTGAGCAAGTGAATGACTCTTTCATCATTGCTAGGTTTCTGATATTATTTTACTGTCCAAGGATTAAGGGATTTGCGGGTTTTATCTAAAAGTTATGGAAGTAAGTGCAGTCTGAAGAAATTTTCAATTCTATTATCGTATTCCTTCATCGATAGATATTCCATAGAGGGTGGAAAGTGTATCTAGGATATTGCCTTCGTTTTATCTTTGCTTTCTGTTTAGACATCCTAGGATATATAGCTGCTAACCATGTACGACGGGCTATTATACTGTCATTATTTTCAGAAACAACATTTCAAAACGAAGATACAATACAACGAGTCCAATTTCCTCCCAAACCCCCAAAACCTAATAGAAAATCCCTTCATAACCGTTAGTTGAATCATTCATATACCACGTCATATCTCTTCCATCCTCTTCAAGGATTGTCATGCCATTTCCCATAAAGGCAAAGCGATTCTTAGCAAGTGGAGTCCAGGTCCAATCTTCGTAGCGTGGATTGAGAAGACAGTGGATATTCTGAATACGGCTCCCTGGGTGAGTCAAGACCTTGCCATCTTCTTTGCCACCCTTCAGCCACGATCGACACTTTGTTCCCCAGATAGTTCTCTGGTGGAATGTGTCATTATGATAAATGAAATCATTTACTGCCTCCGTTGAAGGCACAACAGCTTTGTAGCTCTCGGTCTGTGCCTTCCAGACGATACGGAGCATGTACTTTGTGACCGCCTCTATTGTGGGTAGGGCGGAGCCGTGCGAAAGCGCCGAACTAGGTCCAAGAAAAACTATGAAATTTGTTAATATGCGATACAAGACATTAACGAGTGAACAATTCTTACCAAAGTAATTAGGGATTTCAGGGACGGCAAGTCCAAAGTAAGCTGTAGGACGGTCCTTCCACAGCGAACGCAGGGTCACGTTATTGCGTCCTGTCACGGAAAACCGTGGGATCCAGGAATAATCAAAACCAGTCGCACAGACTATAATATCTAGCTCGATGATTTCTCCTGTCTCAAGCCTGATTCCCTGGGGGACTATCTTCGAAATCCCATCTGTGACCAATCGAACATTAGGCTTCGTCAATGTCTCAAGATATCCCAGCCCTGGTGTAGGTCGCCTAATATAATTAGTATCAGTGGAGGTTACAGAATTTGCTCTCGAATTCCCACCTGCAGCCGACACCAAATTCTGGAATTAAAGATTTGATCAGCCTATCTTCCTTCAACACCCCTCTCATGTAATCTTTAAGATTTTGTTGCGCTTCCTTCTGCATTTCCGACTCTTTAAGATTCTGTTCTTCTAGTAAGACTCGGATTCACGCCTATGTTGACTTAGCAGATACTTACGAGTCTGAAATTTCCGGTCATCGTCCTTTCGAGCGCTTTTCGATACTCCAGAAACCTCTTTGGATCCTCTGAGAATTCCCGTTTCTGTTCTTCGCTGTCTTGGGAAAATTAGTTTTATCGGACGCAAAGCGCTAATTAAATAGCTTACACTCGAAATTCGCTCCGTTAGGGCCAGCAAATTCGCTCGCAAATGTCGGTGTCACCCAGGTTGGGCTTCTTGAGAACGAAACAAGACATTCAACATCTATATTATAAGTTAGCTTTAGCTCCCTAGAGAGAACCATGAACATTATGGGGAGCGACCTGGGTGAATAGCAGGAAGAACCTGCATTCCAGAAGAGCCATTGCCAATGACACCGACTTTTTTGCCTCGAAGATCAATACCTTCTGTCCAGTTCGCTGTGTGCACAAGATCACCTTGAAAGGTATCAAGACCTGCGATACTGGGCCATTTCCAGTGGCTAAATCACAGGTTAAGCTATATTAAATACAACTCATGATGAGGTACTTACTTTAGATATCCTCCGCCGTTGAACAGAAAGTGGCATGATTCTGAGATAACTTTCCCAGAAATTTCATTCTGGATATGGAGATTCCACGTGCCACTTTCCTCATCCCAAGTACAATCCAAAACTCGGTTTTGAAACCGGATGCACCGTCGAAGGTCGTATTTGTACGACGTGGCTTTCAAGTATTCAAGAATTTCTGACGACTTAGCGTAGCTAGAGTACCGTAAGTCGACGTTTGTTAAAACGAGGCCATATATGAGTAGGGAGTAGGGTAGGTGACAGACAATTCATTCCAGGTGGGATTTGCAGCCCACGAGAACTGGTAGTTGTGTGCTGGAATATCGCAGGCGCACCCAGGATATCTGTCAACGTATCAGATAAGGTATCTTTGTGACGTAGTAATTACCGGAAAGCAACACACCGATTCTCATACCACGTCCCACCAACGTCTTTGTTCTTTTCATAGATAACAAAGTCGACATTGCGCATGTTCTTACGGATCTGGAAGGCTAAATTGAGACCAGACGCACCAGCTCCGATGCAAATTATCTTCAGGTGTCGGGCGGTGCCCATGGGGGTATCAGGGATTGAATAATCCTGATAAGACGCAAATTCATCTTGTGTCGGTGGCATATTATCGAGGGAACCCATCGTTGAGCAGTCTTCTTCACTAGGCAGGGTAGAAACAGGACTGGACGTCTTTCTTTTATTAAATTTCTCGCCGAAATATGGAAGTTATGTGAATGATTTATATCTTTAATGGGAAACTCCTCGTCTGCTTGTTGCGTTCTCGGACCGAGCTCGGTGTGGACCTAGCCACGTCTTTGGCGGAATTCGCCCCAAAACTCCGAGTCAAGGCCAGTTGAACGAAAATAGGAATGCAACTCCATCCGAGCGATCATCTTTGGCAAGTCAGGACGAGTAATCACCCTGGGCCGTACCGGGTGGCCAATTGTTGTATGTCAACACAAAATACCGAGCTATTTCTTGGTTATCGCAAGTGTCAGGGTCTGGGAAACGTCAAGTGCAGAACCATGATCCGGCCATGGAACATTTTTTCGGCCCACGATCCGTCGTCCATGGGGACGCGCAAAGCACGTCCATCATTAGTGTGGCTCTTCTTTCAGTGCAAATCTTCTGATGGCGATTACTAAGCCTACCATCAGTAAGTTAAGTTAACCAGGTATCGCTTGTGCTGCTAGCCTACGACCGCTTATCATAATCCCAGCTCTGTACGGACTCTATTACAGTATAAAATTATCTTAGATCATGCTACTATCGTAAGGGCGTTGGTCTCGCAGCCGGGTGGGCCTTGTGATGGTCGCGCCCGTGTCCCTAGATCCAGTGGGGGCTTTCGCCCATCTCGCAGGCCTGGCAGATCCTCACGCGGAGGGGTTCATAGAAGGTAAAGAGGTCCATCTTAAAGAATGTTGACGCGCGATCGTCCGATCTATACTCGCGTGGAAGGGATTCATCTTCGTTGGTTTCATTCGTTCATACATATTATAGTTATCATATTCGATCATTCATTTCGTACCTCGCGAAGGGGAAGGGATTTAGATTGTGGCCTTTTAGCCTTGTCCTTATGTGTGAGAGAAAAGAGGCGCGATGACAACAACCAACTACTACTACTAGCTCTCGCTCGCGGATATACAGTCTCTCACTACCAGATCAATAAGACGCGTCGCGTCGCGTTGTCTGCTATGTATCTGATCAACCACAAAGCGATTCATCGATCTCACGAACCCCTCTGTCGGAATCCGAGGGGAGGACCTCCCTCGTCTAGCGCGCGAGACCCCCTCCGTGGTGGGTCAGGAGCCCCCTCGGTGAGGATCGTACCCCCCTCCCGTTCGGGACACGCCCGGTGGGGGTCGCGAAGTTATGGAAGGCCGCAGGGCGGGTCGGGGCGGACGAGACGCTAAAGGGGGCAAACAACAAAACAACAAGCAGGTCTGCTGCCCTCGGGTATCCCCCATGCGGTAGGGTGCAAATACAATTAGTCGTGCGAGGGGAACTAAGGGGGTGCGAGTGTAACACGAGTATGATCGGTCTGTGTGAGTATAATTATCGAAATCCACGAAACTAATATCAGAAAGAGGCGTTGTGGTCAATTATGAGATAGTGATTCGACGGTTAGAATTGGGCCCAACAATGGTTTGGGCAATGTAGCAAGATAATTACATTAATGGTCTAGCTTCCTAAAGCTTTGTGTTTTGACTAGCAGCGCTCACTTTGAATGAGCCCGATTGCAAGCACTGGAAAACTTTATTGGGATCGTAGACCTTGCCCACCTCTGACAAAAACTTCACGTTGGCGTCGCCGTAGCTGCCAATCACATCCTGCCATTCGCCAGCATAATTTGCGAAAAGAAAAGGGTGGTAGAGGTTCCGCTTCACCGCTTCTTCCTTAACCCTTCCAATAATACGTTGCTGGATGGCGATAACCTCAGCGTCATATCGCTCTAGCTTGGTGCTAAATATCAGCAAAAATGATACGAGAGGTCCATCAATATCATCCAGCCCGAAAACATTGCCTGCGGGACTTAAGGTACGAGGAATTGCATGAAATTCCATCGTTCCTCTGATGTGTGGTGAAATCGGCGCAGCCTCTTGGACGAAAACATTGAAGGCAAAGTCGAGTAGCTCCTTGTCTAGTCTGAATGTGAGTGTGGCAGTAGCTGCACGATCCTTATTGAAATGTTGGAGATTGGCTATGTTCGACGCCAGGGTAGAGTAGTCGGTCAGTCCGAGTGAAGACTCCACTGCAGGTACTTTGCGAAGGTCATCAAACACAGGCAAATCTTCAACTGGCTCTGTATGGACAAGGTACTGAAGTAACTGTAAAGGCCCGCCGTCGTAGGTGAAAATAATGATAGTATGGCCTTTAGGGTTGGCCTCCAGCGCTTGTACGAAGCCAGCGTAAGCGTCGATGGCCTGCTTGGCATGTACACTCTCGATCAATCGGCGACCACCCCACATCCCACTGTACGGATAAGTCTCCAGCTCGAACGCCGTGATAATGCCGAAATTGGAGCCTCCACCTCGTAGGGCACGAAAGAGGCTGGGCTCGCTGTCTCGGCTGGCCGTAACCACACTGCCGTTACTAAGAACGACCTCGAAAGAACGGACGTGGTTGATGGCCCAGCCACGCCGAGCAGCATAGAATGACAGGCCTCCTGCGTCGTCCAGAAGTGAGTACTAACACTTAAGCCTGAAACTCAGTATTCACATACCTCCAACTAAAAAGCCGCCAACCCCAACATCAAAGGCTCTCCCACCAACCGCGATCAATCCTTCATTCTGCAGTTTTATGTAGACGGATCCCCAAGTACTGCCTGTACCAACGAGAACAGTTCCCTTACTTTTATCAATGGAAATGGTATTAAGCTTGACCAGATCCAGTTGGACACCGCCATCAAGGCAGGACTGCCCTGCGAAATGCCCATGACCACCGCTCTTCACCCCAAAGGGAGATCGTGTTGTTGCACACAAAGTGACAGCTCGAGCGAGGTCTTCTGCGCTATGTGGTTGGAAGAAACATCGAGGCTTTAAGGCCTTTTGATTTCCAGACCAGTAACTATCCTGAAGAAATTTGTACGCGGAATCCTTCTCTTCGAAGACTTGTCGGGGAAATTGTCGTCGGAGCTCAGAAATCTATAATATTGTTAATAAAATGCAGCACATAGACTGGAGTAGTCAAGGGAATGCCTACTACATCGTCTGTGGTGATTGTTGAAGTTGCCATTCTGACCGAGGTTGGGTTTATTGAAAGGCACTTGGTTACACTAAAGAGCACCTAGATGGCACGTTGGAGAATTATAAAGGTACGACTTGGGTGGCAGGTCTTTTCCAGCTGAGAGAACCATATCAGCACCCTCTTTATATATGTGCATCGCACAAAAGTCTAGAATGGCGGCTTACTCCGAAAGGAAGAAATTAGAGAATCTAAACATACTTTACACTGCGGTAGTGCGGAGCAAGACCTCGGACTTCGGTCCATGCTCCATTTCGCTGATATCACCGAGGCACTTTATCCTTACTCCGGACTTACAATGCTCTGCCTTCCTCGGTCAGTTCAAACGTGCCTCACCGCTTATAAGTTGACAGGCTCAACGAGACATCCACCTAATGTTGTTTGGTGTGGTAGCCGAGGCACTTAAGGCCAACCGAAGTCACCTCGCCGGAGTTTCCGGACGAGCGAAAACTGCCGAGGATATGCGGATGCAAACTGTTCAGATTCGGAGCGACTAGTTCTATTTCGTCAACGCGCTGACAAGTTGTCCACGGGCGGATTGGGTAGATATCGGACTTACGATTGATTTGCTCCGAGAGCCATCTGAAAAGAAATATAGTAGTTTCGACCCTTGTGTCTGGTCCACAATGAGGACGGACTTTAGAACGGATTTTGTTTGGAAAATCCGACCCGGGCACATTGCCGTTGTGTCGTCAAGGAGATATAAAGAAGCACTCGCAATCGGAAACTTCTACTTTTCACAACAGAGAGGAACTTCCAAGCCAACAAATTCGAAACACGCATAATGGCAAAATACAACATTGTGCCCGTCAACCACCAGGAGTGGTCAAACCCGCTTACTCTCACCTCGATCAATAATGTCGATGTCCTTGGCGTACCGCTCTCCTCTGAACCTTCTTTATCGCCTTATTCCTTCAAGTCCGCTATGTCACGTGTTGCACTCCCATCCACCCACTTAAAACGTGCAACTGTTAGTTTTCGACCGACCCAAGGCTATACCTGTAACTGGGATCAAGCTGGATTTCTTTTTGTGCGCCCAAAGCCAGACCTTCCTGAACCTTCGGCAGAGCAACCGGGTACTTCAAGCACTGCACCTTCATTTATCAAGATTGGAATTGAGCTTTGGGAGGGCAAAATTTATCATATGATCTGCTCTAGTCACGAAGGTCTAACTGACTGGAGCTTACATGCAATTCCTGAAGCCTATGAACAAGAAAGGGATATTACAATGGAAATCTCGAGATTTGGTGACCGTCTTGCCATTCACGCCATCTACGGACAAGGACCTCAATCTGTGAAGAGAATGATCCGTGTTGTTCCGTGGTGTTTCGTGAACGAGACCAAGGATGATCCAGATATCTGGGTAGCAGTCTATGTTTCAAGGCCGGACGCTGCAAGGACCACAACTGAGCCTCTTGTCGTGCACTTCCACGACTTTCAGATCGAGGACTTGGATGGCGTGACCCAGATTGATGGGTGACCCTACTTTTTGCAACTTAGTTGTAGCCAAACTTTTCAATTATATAGTAATGATGAGACCATTCTACCTCGTCGTCTTCAAGTATGAAAGTCTTATAGTGATGTCAATTCCCTGGCCTTCCACAAGGTCGACTTCCCGATGATCATACGGAAGACAAAACCTGCAAGTTCGCTATTCCATGTAACCATTCCGCCATATTCATGACTAGAATCGCGATTTGACGCTAAAAAGAGAAGATGTTATAAAAATGCTACCCGCGAGTGTGTTGTTGCTTGGAAATACTAGGAATACTACTAACAAGCTTCGCACTGATCTAGCCTACAAGACTAATCTACCTGAGCGAACCTACCCATTTTGTACGATGATATTTGTGGAGGTACCCGCCCACTGTAGCTGGGTCCTCACGGCTCTCGCTGGTGAGGGCCTAGCTACAGTGGGCGGGTATTAGCTGATAGCCTATTCTTGGGCTTCCGAGCGGCCCTGAAAATAGGGAACCAAAATTCCCATAACTATGGAGCCTCGGAGATTATGGTGCTAGAAAGAATCGGAAGTTGAAAAGCCAGTACCAGTCTTAGTACAATATCACTCAAGACTATCGTCGTTCCTTCGAAACTACTTCTCAAGACAGGCATATGATTGCACAGGCTGCTGTTGTCCCTTGGAATAATGGGTGATCATTGGGTAATCCATTATAAACAAGGAATAGACCCAAAGACCAGTGTTCGGGGTCTTATTCTCTTTATGGCTGACGACGACAATTCTCTACGCAGAGCGCCGAATAGCTTTAAATCCAGTTCTTCACCGGAACTTTCAACAAGGGACAAAATTATGTCATTGGAAAGTCTTCTAATGTAACATTTAGAGGTTCAACAATGACTCAAGCGATTATCATTACACATCAAAACAACCGTATTACCCTTGACCACTACGAAGAAAAACAAGCCCCAACTCTAGGCTAGTGTCTAGAGTCGCCCACGCGAGTCCGGTTAATGCCGAACGAATCAACTCAAATTGCCATATTTGTGTAATATAGAGTGATTTATTAGAACAGATAAACACAATCACCTTCATGACAATACACTCGAACTCAAACTCATCTGATGTTGCCTCACTCACATCCGGAAATCATCCAGTGTCCATTGTCCAAACCCCATACTTGGTTTCACTGCTTTGTCATCCTGATTGCTGAGGGCTTTAGAACTGAATATCTTCAGAGCTTTTGATGCTAGACTCCGTTGTATTTCGCATATTCAGCATCTCCCAATCAATCTTTGGTCCTTCAAATTGGTGCCCAAAGACAAACCAACCCCCAAGTATCAAGAGGAGAATGCCAACCAAGACTGGCGCCGTGTAGTTCATAGAACCAACTGTGACTGGTAGAGCTGGAGGCATACACACCAGAACTATCAGAACCGGAATCCAAAGGGCTGAGAATATATTGCAGAAATAACCAAGGTACCCGAGTTTGAATGGCCGCTCTGGAAGGAACTTGTTACGACCACGTAGGACGAGGATGGCCTGTGGGGCTGCAAGCGTGATGTTGAGAAAAAGAACTGCAGACGTGATGATAGAATTGAATGCAGTTGTACTAGCAAGATATAGCAGTCCATATAAGGCGTTAAACCCTAGTGCTGCTAAGGTAGCTCGTGCTGGGAATTGCAACCTCGAGTCAATATGTGCAAAGTAGTCTGGGAACGGGGTTCCTCGGTCTCGTGCGAAAGCCCAGGCAATACGGCCACAGGCAACAAACTGGGGGGGCATGCCAGCTAGCATATACAGGTCAGCCAAGGATCGAAAGTGGGGAAACGTTTATTTGGGGATTGACAGGACTCACTGGCATATACAACAATCAGCCAGGCGGCTAAGAATATCGTCAAGGGACGATTCCCAGTCACCTGGTACATAAGCTCAACAGCAGGGAAGCCAGAATTCATAACTTCCGTCATGTTAGTCATCGTGAACATGCTAGCGACCACGATAGGCACGCTAGTCAAGAAGCCAATGAGCATAGTAAGGTTCCTGGGTCACGAAAGTTAGCGAGTGACTAGAACGTAGGTGTATCTAATACTCACATGACCACAGGCAACCTACGTCCTGGAGCCTGCATCTCTTCCGCGATATGGATAGCCGAATCTGATCCTCCAAAGCAATACATCGCATTTGTGATCCCTAGAGCCCATGCTGTTCCTTGACCCCAGCCGCTAGTACCCATGTCTGATTTCACAACATATGAACCATCGTTTGTGTGCTGTCTCATGGCTAGAATGATGATAAACCAGGCCAGGAAACCACTCAGACTCAGATACATAGAGCCAGATGCGATTTTCGGGACCGACTTCGGAAACAGGAAAAGGGGGAGGACTATTGATGGTCAGTTTAAGGCCACCGAACCACATTTATCGACGCACCAGAGATCATAGCCATCGCAAGATAGCACAGGTAGACGTGCCAGTCTTTAGGTGTGTAGCTTGGGTTCACAAAGGCCGCCAGTCCAGTGGCCGAGATTGCCACCAGGGAAAGCCCAGAGGTCGTCGCGATCCACCAGGCAAGAACGGACATCCATCCCACAACGAAGGCGCTAAGCCGCTTGAACTTCTCAGGCGCAAGGATATACGTAAAATGATACTGGCCCTATACCGAGGTTAGTCTTCGAACAGTATAGAGCTAAAGTAGACCTAGCACGTACTCCAGAACTAGGGAATGCAGAGGCGAGCTCTGCTAAACCCAGTGTAACTATCCATTGGACAAACGTGGCTGTCACAAGCGCAAAGATGGCACATTGTGGCCCTCCGTATCGCAGATTTTGTCCAAACGTACTCATTGCTCCCACCCATGAATTCATCACGCTAATGGATCGCGTTAGCTGATCGTGCGGTGAACCACGGGAACCTAGAGGAACTACCAGAACATCAATCCCAGTGAGGACATAGCTGAGAAAAGACGAGGCATGGCAGCCTTATGGCCCTGGGCACGTAGGATAGCATCGTCAATGTCATTAGCATCGCTCGACAAGTATCCTAGCCCGACGCTTTCCACGGGACCCATTTCACTGAAAGCCTGCGTAGATTCGTCCAAGGCTTGAGAGTTGCTTCCCTTCAATTTGATGTTGGTACTAGTGTCCGACTTCATATTATGGGAATTTGTTTTCGATTGCATTTCGTACAAGATTGTCTGCAACGTTTTCTGCGAACGTGAAGCCAGCTGGTTTAAATGAGATATACGGATATTCCGAAGCAAGAGAATGATCCGAGAAAAAGGCTATTCCGGAATCTGGCTCTTGGCGTGGCACTAGGATGCCGTCGATAAGACCCTGTCTAATTGAGTTTCCTAGGTGAACCAATCATTTCGCTCTCGTCGTGGAGGTAGCCTGTTATCTTTCACGAAGGATTAATGAAAGGAAACTTAGGACGAGGGTTGAGAGAGTGCGGGGTTCATGACCCCAGATAAGCGTGGTTGAGCTCGTTTAATACCGACCGGTTTGTACCCGGTAAGTTGCCTTTCGACAGTACCCTCTCCGACGCTGCTACTAATAAGATTTGAAAATGACTTTTTGTGTGGCGAATACAGATACTTACGGCCAGGTACTATACGTCATCGAAAATTCATTACGCGCAGCGTAAGCCTTATTTCTTACCACCCGGTCATTTCTTCCCGAGAGTCCCAGTGGAAACCTATGTAAATGATCCGGGGATATCCCAGATAACAATTTTTTGCAGCACCTGTTGCACCGACAGGTAATTTGACGAATGTGGATGATAAGAATGTATTCCACAGTATTGCTGCCAGGTAGCATCAGGATTCAGGATTTCAATGACCTAAGTGAGGAGCATCACTTGCAGCGCATACAGTATGGGTGCAACATACAGTCCGGCATACCATCTGGACCTCTTGACCAATTTTGGGCTGGTACTCAGTTGCGTTCGACGTCTTACCAAGGTCGTAACGGTCTATATGCAGACGATGAATCTCTCGCAGGGAAAAGATGATCCTGACGTGTGACATAACTAGAACTCGTGAATTCCGAACTTACGCGAAACGCCCAAAGGGTGCCAAGCTGCGCAACTTCTAAGGGTAATATTGACCTATATTCAATAAAAGTCTACGATGTACAGCTCGATAGCCAGGCGAGTCGAATAGAGAAGCTAAACGCTGACAGTGGCGCGCGACTAGGTACACACTCGACCCCGTGAAATACACAGTGAGTTTTAACAGTCCATCCCTCAAAATGCGTAGTAAAATCTTCTGTTTCCCCATTAGGAGCAGGTTTGACCGCGTAAGGGCCCACCCAAATTTCAGTGATATCGGGGGTCGCGCAGTGCCGTATGCTGACCAGTCGGGCCAAGGGCGTATACCCAGAGATCACCGTCGTCTTAACTTCTGATCTCAATAGTGACGCAGCCTTTTAAACCGTTCAACTGTCCTCGTAGGCTCCAATCAGCCTAGTCGTCCTTCACAACTATGCACACCCAAGACACTCCAAACTCCACTTCGATGCCTGACTTCACCCAGCGAGTTCTATCGGCCGATTTTACGACGAAATAGAGACCACCTTGGTCAAACCGGTCCTTGAAGTCGGCAGAGACTGTCAGCCGGGTTAACATGAAAGGCTTTTTGGTTGTGATCTGATAGATAATAGGCACATTGATGGTGTGAGTTGAAGGAGCCTTATCCTAGACATCCGTAGTAGCTGAGCAAGTAATATCGAAAGTGCCTTTCAGATCTGGCATCGGGTGCTTCAGGTGCACATTATTGAATTTTGAGTTCATGATCGAATGAGTCTCCTTTGCCTGACGTAGGGGGAAAGGTCTACCAAAATTAACAGTCGAGGTCAACGCGGTAATGGATATAGATGTTGTAAAATAACGTTTTGGGGTAGGACGGGTAGGACGGGGTACCTTTATATGCTACTGTTAACTAAACAACCCACTCCGCAATCTAGAATCAACGTAGGCACAGGTAAAGTCAGTGTTCCCGAATGACTGGGTTTACTCAATGGGCCGAATGATGGAGCACACCAAGAGAAGAGAACGTGATGTGCTGGGCTTTATATCCAGATACATACTGTAACGAAGGACGATAAAACTGCATCGAGAAGCGGAGTAACACGGTTGACAGGTGGATCTGGGGGACGAGCGCGCAATGAAATGTGGCATTTGATCTATATTGGAGCCGGGAAAGGCATCTCACGACGAGCACAGCAGGAGGAAAATTACAATAAACCCGCAAATAAGAATAATACGTTGGCTGGAAGGTTGCTAGTGTTACTAGCCAGTGTGCTCGAGAAAATACGAGATCGAGACCTCGGCCTAGCGTTAACTAAAATTATTGTCCGAGCTTCGGACTTTCGGAGTTTTCGTCCTTGGGGTAAGTGCAGTAGCGCCTAACGTAATTCACAAGCGAGCGCCGTACCCAAGAACATCATAATAAATTGGATATCTTAGCGCTCGATTTCTCAACAATGATCGCTTGATATAAGATTTTATCATGTCATAGTACTATTTAAATCATATCTAGCCAATTTTTGAGGTTCAGGATATCTAGGATATTTTCTTATCCAGATGTCTATATTTCTCATCTCTTTCACTGTATATTTTGATAATAGTGTACAATAAAATAAATTTTTAGTAGTAGTAGTATTCATTTGGCCGATGTATCTTGCTTTTGTATCTTGCTTTTATGTACAGCCGCTATGCGGGAGTGCATTAGGCCTGCCCGACAGCGGGAATGGTGCGCAGCAGCCAGGTGTCTCTGCGCACGGAGATCCCAGCGGCTCTCCATGATGCAGATCACCTACAGGATGAAGGTAATAGTACTGACAAGACAAGAAAATCAAATATGAATCTTTAGTTCAGATTGAAGTCTCTCTATACTATTATTGCGCATATTAATAGTACCATACTAAGAATCAAATAAAATTAATTTTTTGTTATTGAGATATCGAGATGTAAAACTAATACATTTACTGTACTATGGTGTTTTGGGTGCGGCGCCTCGTTTGTGAATTACGTTAACTAAACCAGAGCTTTACTTCGGTATACAGAACCATAACGGTACACGATGTGCTACCGTTGATTTGCTAGTTGTCATTTGATAAGTGTTCCGTTCACTGGCTATCGCAGCTTACAAATGCAGGGTTATGGGCGCGGTCTTGCTGATTTATACAGGCGCCTCCTGTCCTCCTGAAAAAGAAATTCTCAATTAATACAATTTGCAAAATGAAGATTAAAAAAGGGCTGGATTACATAACCTGTTTCATGTAGAATTGAGTTCTGGCAGCCGTCATGTCAACTACCAGGGCCAACCACACGTCCGCGATCACCGACATATGTTTGCCCACCGCGAAGTTCAAGCGTGCTGTGCTTGGAAACTTAGCGCCGACCTCCAGTCTAACCACGCTGTTCTTGTATTGGTGCGTCGCACGAGAACATAGCTAGGCCAAATACGACCAACGAAGGCTATGCGGAAAGGAGTCTTCGTTTCGTGGAATTCGAGACTGGTGACATTCAAAGCCAGGATATACTACACCTCCACCGGTGCGGACCGTACAGTGCGCGGCCGAAATTTTGGCCGAGACACGACGGCCCGGCGAGGAAAGCTACTCTTTGAGTTGAATGAATTCAGATTGGATGGCTTCTTACTATAAAGGAGGTGATAATTAGATATCAGCAAACGTTAAGTAGAAGGATTGATAGGTATTACCATGATGCTTTGACGGCCTTCACGACGACGACCGGGACACCTGGGAGTCTCTACATGGAACGGTCCACTGTGGACAATTTCCGCAACAGGAAGTCTCTCACAGTACGATTTAGCCAGGTTGACTTCCAGACAACCGGTGGTCTTTTGAACGAGATTCGAATATCTATCACAATGGACTCCAGGTCCACTTGTGGTGCACGATTTGACAGACTTCATAGTTTTTGGCTTTCACTTTCAGGTACGCTACCGCCTTAGCTCGAGAAGATCTAGGAATCTCAGGTCATCCCCATTGCAAGCGAACGAATTGTAGACCCCGGTGTTGTAAAATAACCCGCTATCGACAGGGAAGACAAGAGATTCCACCGACTCGGCATAGATACTTGGGGTCTATCTTGTGATTAATATTCCTACTTGTTTCCATAGGGCATGAAAGTACTCACCGCACCCTCAATCGGAAAATCAGTCGAGTTCCCAAAGTTAAACGGGTTTATTGAGTGGTTCAGACCAGTTTGTTGGACCTCGTGGAGCGCGTGCGTCACTGCATGCCGGTTTTCTGGACCATGGCTTCCATGCAGATTGCTATCGCGCATGGATACGGCGGACAAGGGTTCAACTTGCTGCTCAGGGTCTTCAGCATGTGTACCTGTTTGAAAAGATAACGGGACAAAATCCCTCGCCAATCGAATTAACTGCGTCATCGCGATAGAAATATCCTTATCGGCTCCTTGAGTCGTCTGCATCCGAGCAAAGTATCCAGATGCAAAGTCAAGGTAGGTCAAATTGGTCGTAGTTTCGCGGTGTACTGGGTTGTGGATAACTAGTTCAAACAATATGAACACAGCAACCATTGGCATGTGGGCAAGCATCCTACACGAATATTAATCAAAGATTAAAACACGCCCTGGGTTCGTTCTATGGACGCGCCAAGCCCTTACATACCAAAGAGGGGTGAAAGGCTCAATTGCCAGGAAGTTTGTGAGACTGATAATCGACCGTGCAGCACGCATGAGCATCAACTTGCTTTGAGATTGTCGTATAGTATGTTCACCGTCACTCAGATGTAGAATCAGTCGTGCAATGGCAATTTGCAAATTGTAATAATAAAGATGGATTCTGACCGCCAGTGTCAGGGACACCGAACTGCTGAATGAATGAAGTTTGATAGCCAACCCGGGCCGAAACTGCCGAGGAAGCGATTCTTTCCAAGCTTCAAGGTCAGCCAGAATAGAATCGGTATGTCTGAAATAAACATGCTGTTCCGAAAGGGCTGCACTAATAGAAAATAGAAGGTCGTACGCTTTAGACGTCAGTCGAGAAAACGACGCCCAAGCTCGGATCCAATCCAGTTCTCCGAGAATGGTGCCAAAATGAGATGGAAGAGGGCAAGCTATATCGCAATCGTTGATGAGCTAGAACCCAGGTTTTAGTAATTCTTTGCGCTGTATGTTTGTGAGGGAAAAAATGTATACTAACTGAAGACCTGCCGACATTGAATGCAAAATCCTTCTCCATACAATAGACTACCCAAAACACTTTCGAGCGGTTCTGAAAACTACTTGGCTCTTTAGGTCTCTTCCCGAGACCTAGTGAGATGGTGATTCTGGCAGCCTCGTTCACAGGGATATCATCAACCGGAAGGGACGCGTGCATCTGAGCAAAAATGGCCTGTTTATGTTAGAAATAGCATTTGGATACTGTTCATAATCAGGGGGTATGATACCATGGCTATGAGTGCCTGTCTTGCTGTTAGTACGTATAAGCTCCGAGCTCTGGGATGGCAGAGGAAGGAAGGGCTTCTGTTTCCTACCTGGGCTGTCTCTATCGTCCTCCGAATTAATAAAAGCTCCGGCATGAGATTCAACGATGCCTGGAAAAATTTCCAAGATAATCCTTCCCCTGGTAGAAAGGATCCACCATTGTGATACATAGATCCAAGACCCAATATCGCATAGTAAAGAGCCTGCCAAGTGACATTTTTGGAAAGGAAGTCTCCGAGATCTGTCCTGGATGCGGTTTTCTCGAACTCATCCTGGTCGAGGAAGGGATACATAGGATGCACATATTGGAAGAATGATTCAACATAGTCTTTTGCATGCAGAGTGTCTTCTTGGACGATATTTGCTTTCATTAAAGGTGACCCTGCAGCCAGGGGTTCGTCGCCCATTCTGGCGAAACCTTTCAGCTTTGCGGAAATGGCATCATCAAGCCCCTTGATAAGAGTTTCTAATAGATTGTGACCGAGGATATCCGACAAGGCCTTGATCTTGCGTTCGGAGAAGAAAGCTTGTGTTGAACTCGCGACTGATGTACTTACGACGTCAACTTGCTAAATCAAGCTTGCTTGTTGGGATGGAGGAGAGCTCACCATGGTCATTACTTGTCTGGCAAAGTCAGTCGAATCATCTAAATCAAGCTTGTGCAAACGTACGATGAATATCGATTGTTGAATATAGGTGGATTGCTCATGGCCGCCTTTCAGAATCCGGTCTATACATAATTCAGGTGTTGCGTCTTTCGGACGCGAAGGGGGCGGTATAAACCCAGGCGACCCGGGTGCTGTTGGGCGAGTTGTATTTTGAGGCGATGACAATGAGCCTGGCGGCTGAGTAGGCGTTGCTCTCGAGACGTTGGGAATTGGACCACTCCCAAAGTGTCTTGGTGTTACGACAGCGGTGCTTTCGACATTGACATAGTCTGCGTTGGTGATGGACGGTCCGAAAGACGATTGATCCTGCGTTCGTCGTTTCTTCATGCGCGAGAATTGGCAGGTGTCGCCGCGTCTCTAAACCTAGTGAGCATTGCGACTGCAGGACCTGCGTAGATCCGGACGTGGAGCGTACGTGGCAATTGATACAAGTCTTGTCTTCCTCGCGTTGCTCTATTGTTCTGTCAGATCTACAGGAAGCAAGTAACCCAATTTATGGCTGGAAGGCCTACTCAGGCAGCGAACTTTGCGCACTCGACAGGCGTCACATGTCGTGAGGATTTTTGTCCCTGTCATAGTATAATCATGCCCAGGGCCAGGTCAATAATGCACAGGATGAATCGGCCTTTGAAATGAGCGGAAGACTGGGGCGTTCTGCAAAATCAGATGCCAAAGATGCCCCTGGGAACTGGAATTAAGGCGGTCGCACGCAAGCGGCTATCACCTGACCTCGGTCGTTTTGAGTCTATTATGTCATGAAGTAACTAGCTAACCCACACTGTGCGCCCTGTACGGACCGGGACACCTTTGTACCAACCAAAAAAACAGACGGAGCAGAGAAGCAGATCATACGATTCAACCAATGGAATGGATAAGAGGACTGAATTTCTAAAAGTGCCCCTAACTAACAATTTGTATGGGCTCCAGCTTATGACTAATCCTCTGGTCTGTGCGAGGACTTCGGACTATCGTATATCCTTCTTTCCAGGTATCCACCTATCCTGCTGCGTGCCAGACAGTATTAAGGAACCTCTTTATTACGGAAGAAATCAGGCTGCAATTCTTGTCCCGTATAAACAGTGAACCCTGTACTAGTTAATAATGCCCTCCAAGTCTTAGCCCCGCCGTAATAAACTACTAGAGAAAAAGCAATGGGACCCAGAGTTTGTTCCTCGGTGGATGACAATGGAGAAAGCGAACACCAGACTGAAGCTATCTCCTGTGGCACTCACTTTCTCCCCAGAGGTTCTGTGCACAGTGCTACAGATACTCTTGCAATTATAATTGCAATTCCAGGACATGATGACAAAAACACAATGACTTCCGGTGGAAGTCTATGGAATGAGAGTTGGCCTAAGGCATCCATGCCTCAGGATTTGTAAGGATGGGTTTATCCGTTCCACAAACTGCGTTGATATTCAATACAATGCCTGACAATCCCAGGTTTGTGCCTCATTCGTATCCCCTCTACCCTTGTACACAGCCTACTACTACTACTACTACTACTACTACTACTACTACTACTAGCGGCCCATGTGAGCGCCATTAGATGTTGACTTACGCCAATTGTGAAAATGGCAGGAGAAGAAGAATGATGAGCCACTGGTCTGCTATCCGGCAAAATGCCACGTGATCACCCCCTTCAAAGTTTACGGGAATACACGTCATTGTAGACCGATCTATCAACTCAGGTCACAAATTTATAGGAATATTTCTTTATATTTCTCTCGCTAATAATAACACTTGTCAGGTCTTAGACCTTTGAGGGAAATAGCAGCGGGTCTTTTATCAGTTTTTCCATAACGTCAGTCCGCAAATTGACAGAAATGTCAACACCACTATGATACCAAGACTTCAATTTCTCAGAAATTTCAAGGTTGGTCTCCTTGATGGATGGAGGTGCCTGTTTCAACTGGATTACTCCATCCATGGCCGCTACGACGCCTTCTACATATCGTGGTGTCAATCCGAGTCCGAAATCCACAGCGTACACTGGGGTTTGGACCCAGGATGTTACCATGATATGCTTTTCGCCTAGAAAGCCTTGCCAGAGACGCTGGGGGGCATCTTCATATGCAACAGCGTGAAGGTGGTTTTGGAGATCTTCAGGTCTAACTTTTGTGACCGTCGAACGGATTGCGGTGGCCAAGTATGTCAGATCGGTTTGGCACGCCTCTGCAACATTCATAGCCACATTAATCATGACGATAGGTGAGCCAATGAAGCTTTTCCCAAGTGACATGCGCTCACGCACACCATACACCAGATTGCAGTAAACCAGATTATCGTCTGTGTTGAGCTCGAGGTTCCGCGCCCGGTTAACACAAGACCAGAGATGCGCGACAACCGCGTCGTGGTGGCTGATTCGATGTAAGCCATTGACTGATGCAGTTTCCCATATTTGCTGGATCTGGTCCGCGCTGAGGTGAATCTTATAGTGGGAGACAGGGGCATCTACATCCCATTGCCCCCAGGGCATTGGATTTCCAGCTGGTTTGAGCGGCTGGGATTTGAAGGGTTCCGGTACCTCAGTAGGCCATGGGCAACATTCCGAAGGTGTCCACCAGTCGTAGCGGTGAAAAGGGAGACCTATTGCTTTTCTCAAAAGCGTATCGTCTGCGTCGGGTTTATCAATATTCCCGGCTGCCTGCTTGTCGAGGAGTGATGGCTGGAAGACTGGCGAGAGGGAAGGAAGAAGCGAATTCTTGGACATAGCTTGGCTGACTAGAGCCCAGTCCTTTGCAAAATACGCCATACTGTGCGCATCGCCGAATGCATGGACCATCTTAATAGCCGCGACCGTGCCTCCACAGATAAGTTTAGTCAATTGAATAGCGACAGCTGGGTTGACAGCATCTTCATCTGGCGTAAACGGCGATTCTAGCTCCGTATGCGGGACGAAGCTTTCGAATGGGATCTGATGCATGTCCCGCAAAGCCACATCACGTTTGCTGTCGGGTACAAGATCTTCGAGAGACATTGTACTCTCCGCAATGACCAATTCAAGCCCTGGGTCGCGAGAACTTCCGTAGCTTATACACAGTCTCCCAAAGCGTTGTCTATGCGACGTGCCCTCATCTGGACGGTAAGGCACGGTTTTCAAATGACCGCAAAATTGCGGATACGCTTCCAAAGTAGATAGTAATGCGTCGCGAAGATGCTTGATCAAATCCACGGTATTAGATTTGCCGTTTCTAGGCGGCTCCAAAAACCACACAGCGCTTGTCGGTGAGAAATTAACACACGTGGCATCCAGAAGCGATAGTAGCTCGGTATTTCCGGCGTCTTGGGACAGCTGACCATGGCTGCGAGGATGGACTCGTTCTGTGTATGCACGCGTAACGATAGTCATGGCGTAGTGGCGTGTGGGATTGTGAAATTGCAGCTCTGTGGTTCTTCTTCTTATTTTTGTAAACTTTTTTTTTTTTCCAAATTTCTGCTTCGTGTCGTATTTATCATCTTTAAAAATCATGATGATTCCAGTTCGTGCAAGTGGGTCTTGGACTAAGAGTGAGTCATAGTGAGCCAGGCTATGTCTAAGCCACTTTCGGACCCCGCAGCCAGCCCTTAATGGGGCTACTCCATTCCTTTAGATATCACGGGCGAAAACAGAAGACACACTTTTGGAGGTGGTAGCTCAGCGATCTCAAGGCCGACATAATCGTCGAAAGAAGTAAGAGAGCGTAAAAGGGCCACTGTGATGGCAGCGTCCGAGGAGTCCCCTGCAAGCACGATGCGTGACGGGGATAGTCCCATTTCTTTTGACTACAACTTGTGAGTTGTTGAAGCAGTGAAGAAGGCATGGCTTGGGCGGCAGGAAGGAGACGGGGATGCGATGTTCGATGAGGATAAAAGTAGAAGCACAGTCAGCAACCACTATATGTTGACGACTTGTCAAGCACCAACGATCAGAATACCAAATATCGACCATGTTCGGCACTCACTGAGAAGAATAGCAACACGTCAAAGTGTGGTTCGCAAGGCTTCAGGAAGGAGAATCTCACGCCAATCTTCCCGAACGCGGTTAAATCCACAAAATCTGCACCCGTAGGGCACGGTCGCCCCATGAAGCGCAAGCACGATGCAGACACTCCAACTGGCGAAGGAATCGTCTCAACAGGATCCCGGTCGTCACTAAAGGAGGCGAGGAAAAGGCCACCAAGAAACCTAAATCAACCAAGGAACAACAAACTACAAACTCCCCATTAATCACTTAATGAATAGCGAACTCACGATCATTCAATACAACGCGACCCGGTCGAAAGACGTCATGGCTCAGTTCATGCGGGACCCCACGGTCCTCGAGGCCAGCATCATTGCCATCCAAGAACCATGGGCGAAGCCATACCAAGAAAACACACCCATCCGGCCAAGCAGACCCATCAACTATTCTACCCACAGTCGAGCGAGATGGGCAAGGGCAGCGGTCAAGGGCGTGTATGTTCGTGTCGAAACAGGTGGAGGGCTGGACGCATGTGGTGCACTCCAGGGACTTCCAGGAGCTTCGGCTGCGACACCAGAAAGAAGAGTGGGAGATGCGCATATTGATGACGGTCGTGGCTCAGGGGGAGTCAGGGACCGGCATGGCAAAGACCTGGAATCGGGGATCACTAGGAAGAGCCGAAGAAGAAGCGGAGAGAGATGATGATGGTATTCCTAGATTCCCAGAAGGGAAGGTCTATCTACAACGGCGGTGGGCGCTGACACCTCAGGCATCCACTCACCTTCATCAGCAGCATCCCGTTGCCAGGCACCCGCACGGAAGGAGCGCCAGCGGTCTGCGGACGATAGAGTCGAAGCGGACGTTGATGAGTTCGTTGATTTTTCGATACCATCAATACGAGTGTTTAGGCGCTCGGTATCCGCCGCAATCTTCTCAAGGGCTGCGATTACCCTGGTCATGCCCCCTTAGGCGTTGGCGTCATCAGGGCGCTGGCGAGAATTGATCGCATACTCCTTGACCGTACGGATGTATCCAGTGATGGTTGGATCTTCCTGGCCATTGTTCTCAATGTACCGGAGCACCTTATTGGCGCCCTCGATGATCTGGTCCATGCTAATATTTTTGTTGGCGTTGCTGCTGTGTTTGGGGTGCCGGACTGCTGGTCTTGGCGCTGCCCCTGATAGGTTTTTTGCGCGGTCGGGATGGACAAAATCCACTCTTGGGCGCGCAACCACGGTTGCAGCCATCGTTACCCGTCGAAACCGGTATAAATGGAAGCGCCCACAGTAATTGAGAAATTTACTGAGATACAGGATCCCAGGAACCCTAGTTGGCGAGATAATTCAAGAAAACGATTTTGCCAAGAGATAGTTGCTTTAGCAGCCTGTGCTATCTACGGTATAAATAGTTCCCCACTATGTATCATGTCACAGATAAGCTCATGCTTTGAAGGAGCTAGGTTTGGGGCCAACTTGGTTCGATCACTCGTGATTGATTGTTAGGATATCCCTCCCTCGGGAGGCTGTTCGGGAGGTGGGGTATTAAGGTGTCGGATGTATGGAATTTACAAGTGAATACATACTTGAAAGTACTAAGAGCTAGGTAAATTAGACAGCTGGAATATTAAAAGCATTGAATTGTAGTTATATTTAAATTTTCACGGTCTCTAAAGTTAGGTGATAGCTAAATTTATTTGACCCGCGAGGGGCGATTCGGAAGATTAGTTTAGCCGAAACAGGCACGTGATGTGGGTGGCGTATCTCAGCAATTGAGCGCCGCACTGAAGAGGAGGGCCGCATTCAGGGGAGTGCACATACATCAAGACAGACAGCAAACTTAGTGCGGCTTGGCGAGTCATGTTCAATGAACACCCTACTTCCTTCAGAATCACTGAAACGGCTGCCCATTAAAGATCTGGGGGCCACCGCATCTAAATCCTGTAAGTCGATCGCTACCGGGGAATGAGTTAATGGTGACTTCTCTCGACCAGGGCGTGACTCCAAGTGTGGCAGTGATCGTATGAGCTGAGCTCCGCAATGCCAAAATGAGCTTGTTGAAAGGTGCTAAATATGGACAGGCCACTAGACACACGAAACACCAGAGATATTTTCCTCCTTTCCGGCCGAAACTCGCGCGGACATCTGCTCCGCATTCTTTAGCCTGCCCTGCTCTTGATATAGTCCCTAAGATTTTTTATTGCGCCAGTGTCAACATTTGATACTCTACAAATACATTCTGGTACCCAATTAGCGCTTGCTAGCACATCTAAACCGCCTCATCGGGCCTGCCCTGCTCACAATAGTGTCGGTAATAAGTACGGCTTGTACCGATAGGAATGGATCATTTTCATTTCCTGCCAGTGGTATCGATACGAATATTGCGGTGAAACCGGATAATCATATTCAAGGGGTTTTATGCATTCCCGAGAAGATGAGCTCTGTACTAAAAGAAGTACATCAGATCGTCATGCAGAGCGACGAGTGCGCAATCCCTCGATAACTCCCGCGCAACCTGATCGACGGGTATGAAATTTCCATTCAGCTCGTGGGCTGGTTGGCGGTTGGGAACCGTATTGGCCTCCTTGCATCGCCGACATTTCGTTTGGAATGACCAGTGGGTCTCTCTGTGTCTGTGGTGCTTTGAGTATTCGAGGAAGGTGAATTGTGACTTCTGCAGAAACTTGACAAGTGCTAAATTTGAGCAGCATTGACATCGAAGGAAGAGGCGGTATGGAAGGGATTGTATTCGGACTCGCATTGCTCTGGATTGTGGGGAGGCGTTACGACGACTCGGGGAGCAGATTATATTGTGACAGGTAACAGAAATGAGTTGAAATTGAGGTTTCAACAGGGTGCTCGATAATGGCAAAATACTCGCTGGATATAAAACCCAGTTTTCTCAATGAAGTTGCAACGCAGCATACCCCAATCATCGCGTTTCTCCAAGGGGTGACTTTCGTTCTCGACCAGGAGGCATAAAACTGAAGAGATATTTCAATCCCATTGCGGCTGATAAGTACCAATTCAATACGAATAAGGAATTCCCAGCCGTGCTAAATATGTAGAGGGTAAAAAAAAGAAAAACCAAAAGCATGGAATGTGAATCGGATGTAATACTGTATCCTCTGCTACTTATGACCCAGACTTTTAGATTCGAGTCCTTCCTTCAGGGAGTATGATGCCATTGCCTTTTGGTATTAACAGTCATTCTCGAAATCGGCTTGACCAATACACGTATGATAACTCCTTTCTGGCCCCACCGCCAAGGCCTTAGCGCAGATTCATCATTGCGCGGGCCGCATTGAATGGAAGGACACGGTAAAATGCAGCTTGTATGGTACAATACCTTGCTACGTAATATTACACGGTGTGTACAAGAATTGAGTGGAATTGTTTGGAAACCTATACAGTGGCACCGCAAAAGTCTGTGACCACCCCCCTCTGACCGCCCCTTTCTGCCACCTATATTCTACCGTACTAAGATCTCCAAAATAATCAAATTAAACTCATACTTAGTATACCACCCACTAGAAATCAGTAATAGCCTATACGCAACACGGCATACTCTCTAAGAGATTCCCTTGATCGTGCCACTATTCGCGACGCGTTCTAGTAATTCAATTTAGGAAGCGGTGTAGGCGGTGAAGAGGGCGGTCAGAGGGGGTGGTCACAGACTTTTGCGGTGCCACTGTCGTGGATCTCTGCAAATCATGTGGGTAGGACAGCCTGGCGCCTTGTAACTTGATGATCTGCGGGGTGACTTCGATTCTCCCTCTCATCCTGTGCGGCATGTGCCAGTCGTCCTAAGAGATCTCAAGATGATATCATATTGATGAAAGTGAGTGGGTGCCTGAGGTGTCAGCGCCCACCGCCGTTGTAGATAGAGCTTCCCTTCTGGGAATCTAGGAATACCATCATCATCTCTCTCCGCTTCTTCTTCTGCTCTTCCTGTGATTCCCCCCGCGTCCGTCCAGGTCCTTGCCATGCCGGTCCCTGACTTCCCCTGAGCAGCGACCGTCATCAATCTCTCAACATCCCGAAAATCCACCTTGGCCACTCGATTGTTGCCTGTCTCCTTATAGGATACAAAGATGATTGGACCATTGTTACTCCTTTCTCCACTTTGGGTAGTACTCGTAAAGCCCACAATTTTAGGGAGAGCAGGCCCAGATCAGCTACTAACCGAAGGAGAGGCAAAGCAAGTAGAAAAGAGGCTACAATCCAGCTACGGCCGTCGGCAGATGACCACTATGGAGAGATAGCGTGTATGGCCTAGACTCGCTACTATGTCAACTCTAGGAGTGGTATAAATTTAACCATCTCCAGGAAGATGCAAGTGATCAAAGGTGATCTCCCATTAGATGCATCTCAACATCCCACTAATTCAATCCCAAAAGATCTAATTACAGACCATCTTGATGTGTTTTGTCGCATTTCATCTCTCGGTCATTGCTGAGATATTAAAATGCGTCTCGTCTAACGTTTGGCCTGTGAATATCCTGTGAACATGTTCTCGGACAGAGGAGCTATCCTACCGAGCGCGCCACGTGGCTGCTGCCAATGCAACTCGTATATATGTAAGGAGTCCTACCCTGGTGGATTGTATTCCTGACATCCATACAGCTCAAAAGACGCGGAGAGGACACAATTTCATAGAAATAAAAAAAAAAAAAAAAACCTCTCCTCAAGTTAGTAGACTAGGCCAAGCTATCGTGATTGAAACATCAGGCGAATCTAGCTATCAATCTGCCTGAGCAGTATCCTTAGCGTGCCGATCTACCGTCTCGTTGCCAGGAACCCCTTGGTGGGCAGGGAACCAGCGGAATTCCACTGCGATACCCCTGTCTGTCAACCAACGCAAGGCATCGAGGCAACCAGATAAGTAAATCTGTCCTGATGGCATTCGGGGGCGGCGGAGTGCTTTGAGGGCGGCCTGGCTGTCTGCAAAGATTACCACCCCATTGCTGATTTCTCGGGTGTTCCGTCACAGCATGTCATTTTTCCCCAGAAGCAGGGATCGAGGTGGTTCAATTTGATCATTTAGACAGCAGGAATGATCAAGTGATTGGAGTTGATCACCCGTGAAATACATTGCAAAACGCCATTTTCCTCCATTTCACAACCTCAGCAACGATCGGGTGATTAAATTTAACCACATTTTAGGCATACCTCCAACCCGCACTTTGACCCTGAAGGCAACGACCAGGATGATAAAGTTTGACCACTCATCAAAACATCTCAACCCGCCATTTCACCACCTCCAGGAATGATCTGGCTGATTCACCATTTACACACCAGGAAAGTGTCAGATGGACTGAATTTGGCCACCCATTAAGCATGTCGCACCGTTCCATCTTACCCCTCAACAATGAGCAGGGTGTGTAAATTTCACCACTCTCTAGGCACCTCAATTAAATTTGGCCACCCACGAAACACATCAAGGCCCGCCATTTCATCACCTCGGGAATGACCAAGGTGATTAATTCTCAACCCGTCATTCACTACTTCCAAGAATGATTGGAGTAATCGACTAAATTTGACTACCCATTAGGCATCTCACAGCATGCCATTTTACCACCTCAGGAACTACTAGAGTGATTCAAATTTCACCCCCTTCTAAACAAAATCCGACATGCCATTTCATCACCTCAAGAATCACCAGGGTGGTCGAATTGGTCACTTGATAAAAACATTAGAACAAGCCATTTTATCTCAGTTCGTCCCCCTCAACAATGATCGGTGTGATTCGATTTGATCATCCATTAAACAATAGACGTGATTAAATTTCACCAGGCATCAAACACGTTACGACGCGCCTTTCACCACCCACCCTTCAAGCATGTCTCAATTTGCCAATTTGCCACCTCCAGCAATGAGCGGATGATTAATTTCAACGCCTTTAAATAGATTGATGTGGACGCTGCTGTGGTATTAACGGTAGGCTTTTTTCCTGTCGGAAGACAAAGAATTCAACTGCCTCACACCCCATCGACTGTGCAAATCTCGAAAGAAACCTGAGCATAGTCTCAAGGGTTTCAAGTTGCAGGGTTCGAACTAGGGATGTTGTGAATAACGATATGTTTGAGAACTTCCAGCCAGAGACTGACGCCGGGGTTTAGGATTTCAAACCTTAGATTATAGTGAAAGCTTTGGATACATTGCTACAGTACAGTACGTTGTGACACCCGTCAAAAGCGAAAAAAAAACTATGCTCAGGATAGGATTTAGCGATAGATCCAACCCCGCTT